TGAAGTCCTGCAACAAATTGAGCACTTCGCAGCGACATCGATGAAAATCCTTATTTCTGGCGAAACTGGGACTGGTAAAGAGTTGGTCGCCCGTGCGCTTCACAAAAACAGCGGTAGATCGGGAGAGATGGTTTCTGTCAACTGTGCGGCGATGCCGGAGAACTTATTGGAGAGTGAGTTGTTTGGGCATGAGAAAGGGGCATTTACAAGTGCCGAGGCACGGCGTATCGGTAAGTTTGAAAGGGCACACAAAGGAACACTCTTTCTTGATGAAATCGGCGAGATGCCGCTTTCTATGCAACCGAAGTTGTTACGTGCGATTGAGGATAACCAGATTGAACGCATTGGTGGCGAAAAGCCAATTCTGGTGGATGTCCGAATTGTAGTCGCTACCAATAGAGATCTGGCAGAAGCCGTTAGGGATGGGACGTTTCGTGAAGACCTCTATTATCGGTTGAATGTTGTCCCTATATCGTTACCTCTGTTGTCAGAACGGCAGGGAGGATATTGAGATGTTGGTAGTCCACTTTCTTGAAAAACATCGTGCGGTCAGTAAACCGGAGGTTCTGCAAAGTGGCAGCGAGTACACTATCTCTCCTCAAAGCCTATCCCTGGCCTGGAAATGTACGGGAATTGGGGAATGTCATTGAGAGAGGGGCTTCTCTGGCGAAAGATGGAGTTCTCTTGCCAAGACATCTACTGAAAGATATCCGGACCTACCAAACAGCAACATACAGATGTGTCCGAAGATATTTCTACACCTGAAAACGAGCAGAGCGTGAGTGTTTCTCTCGGCGCGACGCTTGGAGAGATGGAAGAAATGTTCGTCCGTAAAACGTTAGCATGGCTTGACGGGAATCGGACGGAAACTGCGAAAATGTTGGGAATTGGCAGACGCACGTTGCAAAGGATGTTGAAGAGATACAATATTTAGGTGATGTTGGCTCTTGGAGATGGTGCCCTTTCCCCTTTTCCTTGTTTAAAAAACACAGACCTGTTAACGTAACCTAAGTTGCTACCTATAGAAAATCCATCAATTTTCTGTAAAAGTTGAGGAATTCACTTCTTCGCTCCAGCGGAGCGGTATGTCTATAGCAAGATCGTGATCCTTATCTTCCGCTCCAGCGGAGCGGTATGTGTTGGAAAGATAAATAGTGGTAGAACATTCGGAATATTTCGCGCAGATGGTATTCTCCCAGTTTAGGTGGCAACCTGCGTTAACGTAGTGTAAGCGGTATCAGCAGTTTTCTGGGCTTGTAGCACTACAGCACTTCAGTAGACCGCGCGAGAGTCGAAACTCAGCCAGAATGACGCGGTTATGTGCGTGAATAGGACGCACTGCGTCAAACAGACGCAGTTTGAAATAGGTCTGCATTCGACGTGACAATAGGGAGTTTGAGAATAGGCAGAAGTTTCCATTTCTTCAGGGACAGTTTTTGGTAAACCGAGTGTGTGCCTGTGCTTTGGACGTATTATGGAAATACTGCTCTCTCAATTTCAGTGTGTTCGACAGGGGTTGTGTGTTTTATAAAAGGGATTGGCACGGAATTTGCTTATCGTCTAACGTGAGTTTCGACGCGAATGCGTTGGTTTTTATACCGAACTCATCTTTGTTGGCGATTTTCGTTTTTTCAGGCGAAATCGTTTTTGTAATGGCAGTCTCCGATATTTTTTCAGAAGTGCGCCGAAGGTGGTGGAACACTAATCGGCGCGGCACTGCCATAACCAGACTATGACACCGCTAATCTAATTGTAGCATAGAATCACCCGATTTTGTGAGACTCTTGGGTTAGTACCTTATACGAAAAACACCTTATCGTCTGCTTTCCGAAAGCAATCTAGGAAAAATAGTGGACTTTACGTCTTATTCTGTATGGAGGGAAACCATGAAAATACGCTGGACCTTAGGGATCCTCATTCTCAGTGTCCTAGTGGTTATCAATATCTTGAAACGCGACGCTGAAGGAAATTGGACCCAGAAAGCAGATATGCTCACACCCCGGACCAGATTTTCGACCTCAGTTGTGGATGGAAAGATATACGCAATCGGTGGCGAAAATGAGGCGGATGACAAATTTGGGGAGATATCCATTGCAGTGGTAGAAATGTACGACCCGAAAACCGATACATCGCAACCCAAAGCGGATATGCCAACACCCCGGGCGGGTCTCGCTACCTCGGTTGTGGATGGAAAAATCTATGCCATTGGCGGTCAAAAAAAAGAGAAACTTCAGCGGCCTATCGGTTTTGCATACAGGCTTACGGAACTTCCAACCGTAGAAATGTATGATCCGGTTACAGACACCTGGACCCAGAAAGCGGATATGCCAACACCCCGGGCGGGTCTCGCTACCTCGGTTGTGGATGGAAAAATCTATGCCATTGGTGGGGAAGCATTCGGTCTTTTGAGGGGGAAGGCACCGTGGCGGCTGAAAACCGTAGAGGTCTATAATCCCGCGACAGATACCTGGCAGAAATCGCAAAGTCTGATTCATGCCCGTGATGGGCTAACCACCGCTGTTGTAGATGGGGAGATCTATGCGATGGGTGGGACGGGATGGCCCCAAATTCCAGCGCATCCAGGTCCCTTTCTCGCGAGTGTTGAAGTGTTCAATCCAAAAACCCATCGATGGCGTGAGAAAGCCGAGATGCCTGCCCCAAAATCAAATCACACGGCAAGCGTGATTAATGGAAAAATCTACGTAATAGGCGGGGGGTTCCGGGGCAATGGACCGTTTATGTATCTTTCGACGATTGAAATTTACGATCCACAAACCGACAAGTGGACACAGGGGGGGGATATGCCGGTCGGCAAATGGGGACATGCGGCTGAGGTCATAGATGGGAAGATATACATTTTGGGAGGCTTGCGCGCGGGTGAAGATTTATTTTTAAATGTTGATGTCGAGGTTTATGAGCCGGGAGAAGTTTCTCAAAGAGTCAACCCAACAGGAAAACTTCTGAATACGTGGGGTCTGATTAAAAAGGCGAAGGTCCCGGAATTATAGAGAAGTTTCTTTTAACGCACGTCCCGCAAGTTCCGCGCTGTTCATTGCGGGCGTTTTGCTTTTTTCTTGAAGAAACATTTGTAGAGGATGCTGAGAAAAGAAAAGCCTGCATCGCGGGAAATATCTGTCTCGGCTATTTCCAAAAACAGAAAGCACACGACATCGAACCCTTGCACACCGTAGATGGCCGTATCATCCAAACGCACCCCGACCCCTACCGAGACCTTGAACGTCAAGAACTCCGGGCATACCTTCGCGCAGCGATCCAACGCCTCACAAGGACACGTAAACAGGTGTTTCTCCTCTACTACGCCCAGGACCTATCTATAAAACAGATTGCCACTCGTCTGAATCGCTCGGAAGGCACGATTAAAACGCATCTCCGCAACGCACGCCTCCAACTCCAAGAATATCTCACGCCTTACCTGAAAAATCAACACATTCCCTGGCTGATATAACTGCCACAAAAAGGGATATGAAGGGGTGAAGGCGACCGGGATCTCTGGAATATCCCGCACCGACCCCGGCTTCTCTACATAGGGTTTCCCCGCTGGGGCTACCTTTTGGGGATGCTTCGTTTCTATAGACATTCTGAAGAAACACCCAAGCAAAACCCCTACTGGGGCTGAACGGTTTAGAGGGGCGCGTTCTACACAAGTCGCACACCACTGGAGTTGACATTCCTTTATCCTGCAAATCCTAAAATCCTGCAAATCCTGATTCAGACAACAAATGCGAGCGGATAAAAAACTGCGAAATCCGTGTCATCCGCGTCAATCCGAGATTCAGACAGAAAAACTGATTGCCCTATTTTTTGGGTGAAATTTACTTGCACTCTTAACAGGTTTGTAGTATAATTAATAATAGAAAATTCCTGTTTTTTTTATTAGAATTCGGATTCCCCTTTCACTTTAACGGTGACGCGCATGATTGACAAACGAGACATTCAAGCCGCTTGTGATGACATCGTCCGTGAATTCGCACCGCTACAAGTTATCCTCTTCGGTTCCTATGCCTACGGGACACCCACCGAGACTTCGGATGTGGATCTGCTGGTGGTCGTGCCAACAGCCAGATCAGAGCGATACCGGCGGACTGTGGAAACCTTACAACGTAACCCTTGTCGCTTCAGCATAGATATGCTGGTGCGTTCACCTGAAGAGATCGCATATCGCCTTTCCCATAATGACGGGTTTCTTCGCGAGATCACTGAAAAAGGCGAGGTCCTTTATGAAGTCGCTAATTTTTTTATGGAGACCCCCGAAAAGGAAGAAAGTGCTATGAACCCTTTGACGCTGGAATGGATGGAAAAAGCTGAAAAAGATTATGCTGCGGTTAAGTGGCTTCAGCAGGCACCCATACCAGATTATGATATTATATGCTTCCATATTCAACAGTGCATAGAAAAATATCTCAAGACATGGCTTCAAGAGGCAAACATCCTGATTCCCAGATCGCACGATTTAAAGGAATTGTTGGCGTTAATCGTCCCAATTGTTCCTATGTGGCAGACGTGGGAGCCAGACTTTTCGGAAGTTTCCAAATACGCAGTAGCAACTCGCTATCCTGGAGATTCAGCAACCGCGGACAATGCTGTGCATGCCATGCATATCTGCGATCAGGTGCGTCACGCCATTCGTGAACAGCTAAAACTACCCCCGATGCCGAAATAGGAGAACCCAATGCAATCCCAAGACGTTATCGAAGAACAGTACCGCGAAGCCGTGGATATGCTTGTCGAAAAGGTTCAGAAGGATCCCTATGTCCTTGCCGCTATTGTTGCAGGCAGTTTCTCTTATGCCCAGGTGTGGGAAAAATCGGATCTGGATGTGGAACTCATCGGCAGAGACGCTATTCGCCCGACGCAATCTTTCTTTTCGCTTGTTGAAAACGGGGTGAATATCCACGCGAATATAACTCCACGTAATGCCTTTAAGCAGAGAATAGAGGGTGCGCAACAGGGTTCCTTCATGCACTCTTATTTCTCGCACAGCACACTCCTCTTTTCACACGATGCCTCTATCCAAGAGTGGTATGATAAAAACGCAAACCGTGACAACATCGGTGAACGTGATAAGCAGCTCCAATTGCTCAACGTCATCGCCAGCACGCTACCAAGCCTCGTCTATGCTGAAAAGCAGTTTTACGTCAACAAAGATTGCCTAACCTCTTTTCTGTCAATTTGAATGTAGTTCAGGGATTGGCACGGTTGGAGGTGCTTTTGAACAATGAAATCCCGGCACGAGAGGTGATTCAACCCGCACTCCGTTACAATCCTGATTTCTTTAGCCGTGTCTATACAGATTTAATCAACTGTGAAAAGACGGAAGCAGTCATTCAGGATGTGCTGGATGCAATTAACGCCTATCTTGATGAGCGACAGTTTATCTACCAGCCGATTCTTGATTATCTCATTGAGCAGAAGGCACCGCGCACGAACACCGAATTGAACGCAGACCTGGGGCGCGATTTGCATGTCAACAGTGATGGTGCTCCCGAATTTGATGAAGAATCGTTAGATTTAGTCTGTCAATGGCTGGCTTGGAAAGGTATTATCAGGCAAGTTGCGATGCCGATGAAACTTACAGTAAAGAGCCATGTATCCGTGGAAGAGCCTGCCTACTATTACGATGGCACTGTAGGAGCGAGTTTTACTCGCGATTCGGAGGACTGACATCCACACACAGATTCACCATGCATTAGACAATTTAACGGACACGCTCAGAGAGGATATGTACATCCTCGCAGCGGTTCTCACCAGTAACCTCGCTGAAGACAATGTTTGGGAGAAAACGACACCTCACATCACGCTAATCCTGAGAGATGGGACAAAATTCAAACAGAAGGCGTATCAGTTAATCGAAGACGGCATTCCGTTCCGGGTTCAACTCCACACCCGCAGTGACTATAGAAAGTTGTTGGATGGGACGCTACAAGGGAGTTCACTGCATTCAATTCTCGCCGAAAGCGGCGTTCTTTTTTCCAAGGACAGTCTTTTTTCTGTAGAGGGTAATGCTAATTTCCGTGTGGGGGATCCATCCTGTCTACAGGTCGGTGAACGGGACAAACACTCTCAACTTCTCAACGCCGCCGCCCAAGTGGCAGCTATACTCGCGAAAGCCGAAAAATGGTTCCACCTCAAGCGCGATATGGATTACACGTTTCTCTACCTGACATACGCGGTCAGAGAAGTGGCTCGCATTGAAGTCCTCATGCACGGCGAAACACCGAGACGGAAAGTTATCTATCAAGCACTTGCGCACAACCCGTCCTTTTTCAATGCCGTTTTCACGGATCTGATAGACAAGCAGAAAGACGAAGCGATGCTTCGCGATGCCCTTGAGCGGATTGATCGGTATTTAGAGGATAATCTACAGGCACTGTTCAAGCCGCTGCTCGATTTCTTTGAGGAATCGGGTGAGGAACGTACGATTACCGACATCCATACCCATTTCGGTAAGCGTGAACTCGCCTTTGAATTGGCGTGTGAGTGGCTTGCACAGAAAGGGATTATTGAACAGTTTTCAGCACCGATCCGTTTGACAAAAGACAGCCAAACCTCCGTAGAGGAACCCGCATATTATTTCGATGCAAATAATCCGTTTCTATAGGGCAAATTTTAAGTGCTAAGTTGCAAATAATCCGTTTCTTTTTGACATGTAATAACGTTACATCATTATTGCGGGTGTACCTCAAAACTGAGATAATTTGAAAATTTCGAGATGCGAATGGCTATGTTAAATTTTCTCGGACGTGTGCTGGACGTTAGGTTCTCGTTTGTGACCAGTATTGAGTCGTAAATCACGATTTAAGCAGTAATCAATCCAAATTACCCCATTAAATTCTTATCATTGCATTGTAGGAGGGATACATGAGACAGACTATCGCCGTAAAAGGCGCGCGAGAAAATAACCTACAAAACATTGAAGTTGAGATCCCACGGGACCAACTTGTCGTCGTCACGGGTATCAGCGGTTCCGGTAAATCTTCATTGGCATTTGACACGGTCTATGCCGAAGGGCAACGTCGATTCTTAGAGTCGATGTCCACGTACGCCAAACGCTTTATCACGCAACTCAAAAAACCGGATGTCGATTTCATTGATGGATTGTCACCTGTTGTATCTATTGAACAGAAAACGATCACGATGAATCCGCGCTCCACTGTCGGCACGATGACCGATTTGCAAGACTACCTCCGTATGCTCTTCGCAACTATCGGTGTCGCACACTGCCCTTATTGTGAAGGTGAAATCCCGATCCGTTCGCATCATCAGATTTTGGAACGGATGCTCTCGATGCCAGAGGGCACCGAAGTTGAGATTCACGCCCCAGTCTTCAAAATCTACGGCGAAGATTATGACTATCTCTTCGACGATGTCCGTACGAAAGGGTGCAGACACGTCAGGATTGACGGCGTTGAACACGACATCAGCGAAGAAATAGAACTTGATCCCGATCAAGAATATGACATCCAAGTTATCGTTGACAAATTCTATATTAAAAAAGAGATTGACAAGCAGGTGCTCGCCTCCCTTGAACACGCGATGCTCGTCGGCGAAGGATTCATGCGTTTTGATGTTCAGTTCCCAGACGATACCGAAGCGAACGCAATAGAGTTATTGGATGGTTTTGGGTGTCCCAAGCACGGCGTGCTCATGGCTGAACTCGGAGCGCATCACTTTACCTTTAATGAGCCGACGGGGGCGTGTGTAACCTGTTCTGGTCTCGGTACCTACTTGCAGGTGCATCCGAGTCTACTCGTTCCCGATAAGAGTCGAAGTATTGCCGACGGTGCATTCGTCCACCAAGCCTTTAACTACGATCCCGATAGGTGGGATGGTAGAACAATGTACAGTCTCGCCGGACACTACGGGTTCGACCTGAACGCTCCTTTTGCAGACCTTCCAGAAGCGGTTATTGATATCCTCTATCACGGCACACACAGCGAAGAATTTCCGATCCTGCAACCGGAGGGGGCACGCCCCGTTGAAAAGCGCCATATCGGTCGGAAAATCCGTTTTGATGGGATCATCACTCGGATTGATAGGCACTATCGGCGTTACCGAAAACAGGGCGAGGCGCACTCCGGAATGGAGGAGTATCTCCGGAAAGTGATGGTGGAACGCACCTGCCCTGATTGCCACGGGACGAAACTAAAGCGACAGCGGCTTCTCGTCACCATTGACGGTCAAACAATTCATGATGTCGGTGAGTTGCACTTTGAAGAATTACGGGATTTCTTGCTGACTATCACGGAGGTTCCGGAGAAGCAGCGAGAGGCTGGTAGCCGCGTTATCAATGAACTCGTCACTCGGATTAACCTCCTGCTCGGCATCGGACTCGATTATCTGAACCTTAATCGCCGTTCTGCCACGCTCTCCGGTGGCGAATCGCAGCGTATTCGTCTCTCCACACAGATCGGATCCGGGTTGATGGGCATGCTCTATGTCCTTGATGAACCGAGTATCGGCTTACATCCAAAAGACAATGCCAAGATGATAGAGACGCTACGAAGGTTACGTGACATCGGCAACACCGTTATCGTTGTTGAACACGATGAAAGCACAATTCGTGCCGCCGATCATATTATCGAACTCGGACCGGGACCCGGTATGCACGGTGGACAGGTCGTCATTCAAGGTGAACTTGAAACGATTCTTGATTGCCCTGAATCTTTGACGGGTCTTTATATGAGCGGGAGGCGAGAGATTCGACTCCCCAAACAACGTCGGGAATTGAACGGCAAATTCCTGAGCATCACCGGTGCAACGGAGAACAATCTGCGAAATATTGACGTTGATATTCCGGTCGGTGTATTTATCTGCATCACCGGTGCCTCTGGTTCTGGTAAGAGTACGCTCGTCAATGAGATTCTCTACAAGAAGCTTTATTCTCTCTACCGTGACAGTCGTACGCTCTATGGTGCCCACGATGAATTAGGGGGACATGAACACGTCAGCGATGTTATCAGCATTGATCAGTCCCCTATCGGGCGTTCACCGCGTTCGAACCCTGCCACCTACATCGGATTTTACGATAATATCCGAAAACTTTTCGCGAGTACGCCACTCGCTGTTGAGAGAGGTTATACCGCCTCCCGATTTAGTTTCAACGTCAAAGGCGGGCGGTGTGAGGAGTGCCACGGTGAAGGCACTATTACCACCAAACTCCACTTTATGCCGGATGTCGAAGTCGTTTGCCCGACTTGTAAAGGGGCGCGCTATAATGAGGACACGCTTGATGCTACCTACAACGGGAGGAACATTTCCGAGGTTCTCAATATGTCGATTGAGGAAGGTGTTGAATTCTTCGCGGATCAACGGTTGATTCATCATAAATTGAGTGTCCTTTACCAACTCGGTATGGGGTATCTCCAGATCGGTCACCCTGCTACGATCCTCTCCGGCGGTGAAGCGCAACGGATAAAGTTGGCAAGCGAGCTTGGCAAAATCAAGCGAGGTAAGCATAATCTGTATATCTTAGATGAGCCAACCACAGGACTTCACATCGCAGACATCCAGAAACTTTTGGACAGTCTCAACCGTCTCGTCGATAGTGGACATACCGTCCTTGTAATTGAGCATCATCTCGATGTTATCAAAACCGCCGATTATGTCATCGATCTCGGTCCAGAGGGAGGACATAAGGGGGGCGAGGTTTTAGCGCAAGGCACTCCCGAAGAGATTGCGAAAGTCAAAGCCTCCTACACTGGGCAGTTCTTGAAGAAATATCTTATCTGAAATAGATCGGATTTTTATGCGGCGAAAAGATAGACTGTTATCAAAAGCGAGAAATAACCCAAACAGTTTGCACTTCCGCGAATTTGAAGTGTTGCTTAAGCAATGTGGATGGACCTTTGACCATCAGACGGGTAGCCATCGCATCTGGTATTCACCCAACCGCTATCGTCTGCCAATTCAGTCTAAAAGAGGACAGGCAAAAGGATATCAGGTCACGGAATTTCTCACGCAATACGATCAGGAGACGCAAAATGCGTAAAGATGTATTTGACGGATTTAACGTAAACGTATTTCTTGATGAGGACGGTGATTACTTAGCCCATTTTGTTGAGATGCCCAATGTGTCGGCGTTCTCAGATACACCGGAAGGGGCATTGCGAGAACTCGCGATCGCTTGGAAAGGTGTCAAAGAAAGTTATGAAAAACATCATGAACCCATTCCGAAAGCACCCGCTTGGCATGAGAATAAAGCACCATTCAAAGTCGCCATTGATGCACAACTTTACCATGCCCTGACGGACGAAGCCGCAAAAACAGGAGTGAGCCTTTACGCGCTTGTAGCGCAGAAATTGAAGTCAACGGTACCCGTTGTTCAAGAAAGAGTGGAAGGTTGAACAACGGGGTCTTTTCGTCTAAGGTTAGGGTGTGGTTTGCCAGCCTTGATGATAGTCTTTACATGCAACCGCGCCCTACACACGAAAACAAAATACCTCTGATATTTTCCCTTTGCAAAATTAACCCAAATCGTGTATACTTTATGAAATGAAGTTGGGGGACTATGACGCACCACTTGCAAGTATATATGACAAGTGTGCTTTCCCCTAATACGATGAGGCAAGGGGTAAACATTGACCGATAACCTATTAAGTTCCTTAAATGATGTTCAGCGCGAAGCAGTCCAACACACCGAAGGACCGCTCCTCATTTTATCCGGTGCAGGCAGTGGAAAAACGCGCGTCATCACACACCGTATCGCCTACCTAATCGAACATCACGATGTCTCTCCCTACCGTATCCTCGCTGTGACTTTTACGAACAAAGCGGCAAAGGAGATGAAGTTACGGTTGGATGCGCTCGTGGAAGGCAGTGTTAGCCGAGACCTCTGGGTGTCAACCTTCCACGCGACCTGTGCTCGCATACTCCGCCGAGATATTGAGAAGTTAGGCGCGAATGCGGCATCTGAAAGTGTGTCCCCATCCAAGCGGTACGCCTACACCCGCGGCTTTACCATCTTCGATACAGGTGAGCAAACCACGCTTGTCAAAGATGTACTCCGGCAGCTTAACTATAATGATAAGCAGTACAACCCGCGCGCGATCCTCAGCCACATCAGTCGTGCAAAAAACGAGTCTATATCACCGGAGACATACCAGAATATCGCAGAGGGCTACTTTGAGAGAATCGTTGCAGAAGTCTATGCCCTTTATCAAGATGCCTTGCGTGTGAACAACTCCCTTGATTTCGATGATCTGTTGCTTTTCACAGTGCAACTCCTGAATGAAAATCCCGAAGTCCGCCAATTTTATCAGAACAAATTCGAATATCTCCTCGTTGATGAGTATCAGGATACAAATCGATGTCAGTATGAGTTGGTGAACGTATTGGCGGGTACGAAGCAGAATATCTGTGTCGTCGGTGACGATGACCAGTCCATTTATGCTTTCCGTGGTGCGGACATCAGAAATATCCTCGATTTTGAGAAAGATTACCCGAACACACGTGTCCTCCGTTTGGAGCAGAACTATCGTTCCACCCAAAACATTTTAGATGCCGCGTGGGGGGTTGTGCACAACAATAGCGCGCGGAAAGCGAAGAAACTCTGGACAAAAAATGACATTGGTGAACTTGTTACCTGCTACGAGGCGATGGACGAAAACGACGAGGCGGGTTATGTCGGTACGCAAATTCAGGATTGGCATGCCGAAGACGTAGATTACAAAGACTTTGCTGTCTTTTACCGAACCAATGCCCAATCCCGAATCTTTGAGGAGGCATTCCGCGCTGCAAACATCCCGTATCAGATTGTTGGCGGTGTCGGTTTCTATGATCGGATGGAAATCAAAGACCTTCTTGCCTATCTTCGGGTCGTGTGTAATCCCAACGACTCTATGAGTGTGCGGCGTATCATCAACGTGCCAAGTCGAGGCATCGGTGCTACAACGCTTGACCGACTCATCAATTTTGCCGCACATGAAGGGATTCCTCTCTTTGAGGCTGTTCAGCGTGTTGATGAAATCACGACGATTAACCGCGGTCTCCAAGCGAAAGTGCGACGTTTTACCAAAATTTTTGATGATTTCGATGCATCTATGCTACCTGCTGATGCACTTGACTATGTTTTAAAGATAACCGGTTACCTTAAAAATTTAGAGGCTCAGAATACGATTGAAGCGCAGAACCGCGTTGAAAACATTGAGGAATTGATTAACGCCGTTATCGAATATGAACAGAACGTCCCCGAACCGACCCTTTCAGATTACTTGGAGAACGTGGCTCTCATTGCTGATATAGATACTATGGAGACCGACACTACCGATATGGTGACGTTAATGACTTTGCACAGTGCCAAGGGATTAGAATTCCCATTTGTTTTCATCGTCGGTATGGAAGAGGGGTATCTGCCGCATGGACGTTCCCTTGATACGCAGGCAGAATTGGAGGAAGAACGCCGACTCTGTTACGTCGGAATCACGCGAGCCATGGAGCGGTTATATCTCTTGCATGCCAGTTCGCGGAGAACATTTCGAGAGACAGAATATCGCATTCAATCTCGTTTTATTTCCGAAATTCCGGAGCATCTCATCAAGCACGTTGATCGATACCGTTCTCCATTTCGACAATCAGAGAGCCTGTATGAGGTCGTTTCTGAGGATGCCGTGGATTACTACGTCGATCAGATTGTGCATCATCCGCAATTCGGGAGAGGTAAGATAACAAAGATCAGTGGAGCAGGGCAGGGGGTCTATGTCACCGTTCGTTTTGATCGTGCTGGGACAAAGCAACTCGCTGCTTCAGTTACATCACTGCAAACAGTGTCTGATGAATAAGAGGATAAAATACGAATAAAATGGCAACGATTACCACCGAAGGCGTGCGCCATGTTGCAAACTTGGCTCGCCTTGAGTTTAATAAAGAAGAGATGGAGCACTTTACGGATCAGCTCGCCCGAATTCTGGGCTATATCGGGAAATTGAATGAACTGGAGACAGATGAGGTGCCACCGACATCGCACATCCATCCACACCAAGTTTTTATCATGGGTTCAGAAACCGAGGCATCTCATGTCGCCAAACCGGATGTTGTCAAACCCTCATATCCACGCGAAGAGGTACTCGCGAATGCTCCTGAAGCTGAAGAGGGATACTTCGGCGTTCCGAGAGTGGTTGACCGCAGCCACTAAAATAGTTTTCAGTCGTCAGTTTTCAGTCTGCCTCGCAGTGAGAGTTAAGAGGTTTTCGTTTAACAGAACTCTCTTTTAACTGATAACTGATAACTCTTAAAATAAGGAAAACTGAATGTCGCTTTATGAATTGACGGCACATGTTCTGCATGGGAAAGCTCAGAGCGCGTGAGATCACTGCTGTGGAACTCACCGAATCTGTCTATGCACGTATCGCTGAGGTGGAGCCTCACGTCAAGGGGTACCTGACGCTAACAAAGGACCTTGCCTTGGAGCAGGCGAGTCGTGCCGATGCCGGATTTCAAAACGGGGACGATATGCCTGCCCTGGCGGGTATCCCGATTGCCATTAAAGATGTGATATGCACTAAAGGTGTTCGTACGACGTGTGCCTCTAAGATCCTTGAAACCTTCGTACCACCTTATGACGCGACCGTCATGAAGAAACTCCATGCGCAAGGCATTGTTATGATCGGTAAGACGAACATGGATGAGTTTGCCATGGGATCCTCTACCGAAAACTCAGCATATCAGATTACACATAACCCGTGGGATTTGGACACTATCCCCGGTGGTTCCAGTGGTGGTTCTGCCGCGGTTGTATCCGCGGATACTGCTATCTGTTCGCTGGGCTCGGATACAGGCGGTTCAATTCGTCAACCCGCAGCACTCTGTGGTGTCGTCGGAATGAAGCCGACGTATGGACGTGTCTCTCGTTACGGTTTAGTCGCATTCGCCTCTTCACTTGACCAGATCGGTCCGTTTACCAAAGATGTCACCGATTGTGCGCTGCTACTCAACGCCATCTGTGGGAGTGACACCATGGATGCCACCTCCGTTGATGTCCCCGTGCCTGATTTCACGCAGAGTCTCATTAACGACGTGAAAGGCTTGAAAATCGGTATTCCGAAAGAGTATTTCACGCCGGCATTAGACTCGGAAATTGCCCAGCAGGTGCACACTGCCACTGCGGTTCTTGAAGCCCTCGGCGCGACGGTTGAGGAAATTTCTTTACCACATACGGAATATGCCATTGCGACGTACTACATTATCGCTCCTGCTGAGGCGAGTGCGAACCTCGCGAGATACGACGGGGTCCGTTACGGATACCGGAACGAAAATCCGGAAGATCTGATTGATATGTATAAAAGGACGCGGAGTGAAGCGTTCGGTGAGGAGGTAAAACGCCGTATTATGATCGGCACCTTCGCCCTGAGTGCAGGCTACCAAGACGCATATTATCGAAAGGCACAGAAAGTACGGACGCTCATCAAATCTGATTTTGATGCCGCGTTTGAGAAAGTTGACGTTATTGCAACGCCCACCTCGCCTACACCTGCATTTAAAATAGGTGAGCGAACCGATGATCCGTTGCAAATGTATCTTTCCGATGTGATGACAACGCCTGCGAGCCACGCCGGGTTACCCGGTATCTCTGTACCGTGCGGTTTTGTGAAAAACGGGTTACCGGTTGGATTACAACTCCTCGGTGCGCCTTTTGCAGAGAAAAAAGTGTTGCGAGTTGCTTATACTTTCGAGCAAAACACGGATCACCATCGGCAGAAGCCGAAAATCGGAACTTAAGGAGTGGTTTTGTAGTGAACGCTTTCATAGCTCCGTTCGGCGGACTCCTCGGTGCGATGGTAGGCGGTGTACTTTGGGCAAAGTATAGCCAATGGACAGGGCACACTGCTGGCTTTATTGCTATCGGTATTGGTGTATTCACAGGTGCCGGAATGCTTTTGACAAGCAGCCGCAGCCTCGAGCGTGATGCCAGAACGATGTGGCTGTTGTCAGTACTGCCGCTGCACTTTTCGCGATCCTCGGTATTTTTATTGGAAAATATCTGGATGTCCAGTGGAACGCGGTTGCCCAAATCGCGGAACAACTGCGTCACGAGAATAACATATCACTGGAACAAGCGATGCCCATCGCCACGGTGCTGTTTAAGGGGCAGTCTGTTTGGGAACTGATGCAGGCACGGATGAGTCGTATCGACCTGCTTTATTGTGCAGCCGCAGCTTTTATTGCTTTTCGGATTCCAAGTATCCAAAGGTTACGAGACTACTTTTATTAACGAAATTTTTAAACGATTCGCCTCCGCGCTGTGCTCCATTACATTCCGCACAGATTTCCGGTCAATTTTGCGGCGTACTCGCCCATAAGCGATCTGCTTCAAGCAATTCCTTCTTGAACCCCGTAGGGGTGAAATCTGTGTAGAGGAAGGCAACGCGAAGGCCAAAGAATTAAAAAACTGGAATGCCGGCAGGAGGAAATAAAAAATGAAACTTTTAACGGTAGGTTTTGGAAACCCGCGAACTTCGTCCAAAATCTGTTTTCACATCTTATTATCAATGTTTCTTATCTGCGCGCTTCTACCGCTCGGTTGGAGTTCGGAAGAAACCGGCAAAACAGCCGATGATGAATTGGTAGAAAACCTCGCGCTTTTCTCAGAAATCCTTGCTTACGTCAAACAGTCGCATCTTGATACGCCGGATACTAAGGAACTTACAGACGGTGCCATCAATGGCATGCTTCGCAAATTGGACCCATACAGTCAATACATTCCAGACTACGGTGACTTTCGAACCCAAAACCGTGGCAACTACGGTGGACTCGGAATGCTGATCGGGATTAAGGAGGATATGTTGACTGTGGTTACGCCTTTTAAGGGGAGTCCGGCTTCGTTGGCTGGTTTGGAAAGCGGAGATGTTATTAGCCATATTGAAGGTGACTCGACGGCTGTAATGACCTTGAACGAAGCGGTTGACCTGTTGCGTGGTGAGCCGGGAACCCCAGTTTCCATTATGGTCGTGCGTGAGAACGATAACCGTCCGGTTGGGGTTACTGTCACGCGTGAAGTCATTCGAATTCCGAGCGTCGAGCAGGATATTATTGGAGATAATATCGGCTATATCAAAATCAATCAATTTCTTGAAACGACAGCGAACGACGTAGATAACGCCTTTGTGGATTTCAAGGCGCAGAATGTCCGTGGTGTCATTCTCGACCTCCGCTTAAATCCTGGAGGACTCCTCTCTTCAGCCGTTGATATCGCCAGCGACTTCCTCACACCCGGTCAACTTGTTGTTTACAGTAAAGGCATTGAGGCGCGTGAGGACTTCAAAGCGAAAGGGGAAAAAAGGGAGTACTTTCCCGTGATTGTCCTCGTTGATGGTGGGAGCGCGAGTGCTTCTGAGATCGTCGCTGGAGCTATCAAAGATCACGGACGGGGACTTGTCATGGGCAGCAAGACCTTCGGGAAAGCATCCGTTCAACGTGTATTTCCGCTTAGCAATTCAAAATCTGCTGTGAAATTAACCGTCGCGCGTTACTTTACACCGAACGGGATCGACATTGACAAGATCGGCATTATCCCGGATGTTGAGTCCGCATGGTTTAGTCGCTCTGAACGGCAGATGCAGTTGAAACTCCGCGATCACGAGAAACTCAAGACCTTCATAGAAGAGAATGGCGACGATGTGTTGGCACAACTCGCGACCGCTGAACATGCTTCGCGCGATGATCGCCGCGCCGCAAAACTCCTGCGGAGTTACCAGCGCTTAAGCGATGTGCTGACCGAAGAGCAGATTGTTCTCAGCGATATCGGTGTTAAATACGCGCTTGCCCAGATTACAGAAGACACCCGTGATGAACTGGAGCACGATCCACAAGTTGTCGCCGCTATGGAACAATTGAAGGTGCTTGAACTCTTCGCAGCGCAGAACTAAGGAGGAAATTCGATGGAAACTGATGTTAGTCTTCTTAAAAGCGGCTCACAGGCGGTGCCGGGCGTACAAACGCCACTACCCAACTACGTTAATAACACATGGCAAAAGTCCGAGGCGGCTGAACTGATTGACGTTATAAATCCTGCGACTGGGGAAGTCCTCACCCAAGTGCCGCTTTCACCCGCGGAAGAGGTACATCAAGCGGCTACAGCCGCCGCTGATGCGCTCCACGAATGGCGGCGGACGCCACCCGTCCAGCGTATTCAATACCTCTTCGCCTTGAAAAATCTTTTAGAGGAGAACTTGGAGGATATCGCCAGAACGATTACGCTGGAGTGTGGTAAGACGCTTGACGAAGCGACGGGTGAAATGCGGCGTGCGATCGAGAATGTTGAGGTTGCCTGTGGTATTCCCACACTCATGCAAGGCACGAACTTGGAGGATATCGCTACCGGAATTGACGAATTTATGATTCGTCAACCTGTCGGTGTATGCGCCGCAATCGCACCTTTCAACTTTCCGGGGATGATTACTTTCTGGTTTCTACCCTATGCTATTGCCTGTGGGAACACTTACATCGTCAAACCTTCCGAAAAAGTACCAATCACGATGCAAAAGGTGTTTCAGTTGCTGGAACAGACGGGACTGCCTAAAGGTGTTGTCAACCTTGTGAATGGTGGTAGGGAGACTGTGGATGCAATCTTAACGCATCCAGAGATCCGAGGCGTCAGTTTCGTCGGGGCGACTGCGACTGCTAAGGCAATCTATGCGAAGGCTGCTGCAAACGGCAAACGGGTCCAGTGTCAAGGTGGGGCGAAAAATCCGCTGATTGTCCTTCCTGATGCGGATCCGCAGTTTACTGTCAACGCTGCAGCCGAGAGTGCATTCGGATGCGCTGGACAGCGCTGCCTTGCGGCATCTCTCACTTTCACGGTTGGCGAGGCACGGCACTGGTTCACAGAAGCCATCGCCGACACCGCCACGGATCGGGTCGTCGGAAATGGGTTAGAGGAAGGTGTCGAAATGGGTCCCGTCATCACCTCCGAGAGCAGGAGCCGAATTGAGGGGCTGATTCAAGCGGGTGCTGATGAAGGCGCGCAACTCCTTGTTGATGGTCGGTATCCGAGTGTCTCTGGCGGTGAAAACGGCAATTTTATTCGACCGACAGTCCTCAATGACCTTAACCCGCAAGGCGATATTGCCAGAACCGAGATCTTCGGACCTGTTTTAGGGCTCATCCATGTTGAGACAATCGACGATGCAATCGGGATCATCAATAGCGGGCGTTACGGCAACATGGCGTGTCTCTTTACGAGTAGTGGCGCGTCTGCCCGTAAATTCCGATATGAGGCAGAGATTGGCAATATCGGCATTAACATCGGTGTCGCTGCACCGATGGCATTCTTCCCATTCAGCGGTTGGAAAGATAGCTTCTTCGGTGACCTCCACGGTCAGAGTTGGGATGCTGTAGATTTCTTCACCCAGAAAAAAGTCGTCGTTGAACGCTGGGCTTAACTTTCACATTCCGTCGCTGGCGAGGTTTCCCAACCTCGCCTTCCCACCCTGTATAGATAATCGTAAACGCTACCGTAATTCGAGTAAGACTTACCTATGATGAACCAATGTCATCTATTACGTATATGAAAAAAGAGTTGCTGTCTCCATTTGTGTTATGCTATAATTGCTCCTAAGTAGTTGATTGTAGCACTAAGTTCTTTTCGCTCAGTCATACTGTATCTTGTGAGAAGGGCTTCTTGCTTGCGGCACAATTAGTAGAAGGAGAAGGAAAAATGTCCCACATTGCGAAAATTCAGCAAGAGATTCTCGCGCTGTCTCAAACCGATTACACGCAATTAAGGCAGTGGTTCAGTGAATTGGATTGGGAAAAATGGGATCGACAGATTGAATCAGATTCGGACGCAGGAAAATTAGATTTCTTAATTGCTGAGGCTCTTGAGGAAAAGGAGAAAGGAACACTCAAGGAGCTTTAGGTGCACAAAAGGACATCCCGATTCCGAAGGTATCTTCAACAGTATCCTGAATCTGTACAAAGGATTGCAAGGCAAAATTTCAATCTGCTCAAAACAAACCCACGACACCCGTCTCTACATTTCAAGAAGGTTGGCAAGTATTGGTCTGCGCGCGTAGGAGAGGATCATAGAGTACTTGCTGTTAAGGATGGGAACGACTTCATTTGGGTTTGGATCGGTAAACATGACGAATATGAACGTCTGATTAGATCCTAATTCTTTAGTGCCTATCTACTACTGCATGTTTTACCACGGATGCTTGTATGATGGCGTATTGACGAAACGGTGTATTCCTAATTCCAAATCAATTTGTGTGTAGGGTGGCAATTGGACATGGAGATATGTTCCATTGACCGAGACGCTCTGTCTGTTCTGACCGTCGTTGACACTTACTGAGGTAAAATTGTGTTCACCCATCGCACCGGCTTGCACAATGACATCCCGCGGTTCTGTGGCGTTGAGGTTGACGAACTGCAGTCCGGTGGTATCCGCAGTCATTTTGGTAACCAATGCGCCGACATCGGATGGAAGTCCCGGTCGCTTCTGTTGTCCGTCGAAGTGTCGTACCCGTGTCACGAGCAAGCCTCCGTTGTAATGCGGCAGCGGACCGCCACACGTGAGTTGAACCAGTCCTTCACAGGTGATTGGATTGCGTCGCTGAAAATAAGCGTCTCCATAGTTCGCTGGGTCTTCTTCATCGTCAGCCATGAAGGCGAGACGTGCCTCGACTTGGGAGAGGTTGTGGTTGAGGATTGTTTCTGGGTATTCGGGATACTCGTCTCGCATGTATGCAAGCCACGCGCCGTCGTGTCCACCGCTGTCTTTGGTATGGTGCCACGCGTTGATGTCGAATTTCGATCCCGTTCTTTTGGCGATTTTCTTTGCGCGGTCCTGATCCGTGGGTAACATTGACATTGCCCATAAGTGCGCGACATCTGACGGATGCATCGGCATAAATTCAAACCAACCGTCCACTTGCAAAGCGGTGCCGTCGTCGTTTGTGATCGGATATTGTAACCAGGGACCAGGCACATAGTTGACTTTACCCGGATCCCCGTACTTCTGTGGGACGTAAAGTTGATCGTTCTTCTCAATGCCCCTTTCAATTAAAACATCGATCTGCGAGCGCGGAAATTCGAGATACGCAAGATCTCTCCAGAGTAACGTGGCATTCTGCGCAGCGATGCCTACCACTTGTCCAACACTATGCCACCCATGGGGCCAACTCCATCCGTAGTATGAACCATACCATTTGCCTTCTATGTGTTCTCCGATCTCTCCTGATAGCCCGACGTTGTCTGGGACAATCCCATCGTTTTCCGCTGTCCGCGCTATCCACGCGTCGACGTATTCTCGAACCCATGCTTTGTATTTCTCTTCGCCGGTCAGTAGATAGGCATTGGCAGCAAGAGTCGTTGCAGCGAGATTGACGACCGCATCCCCGACTCCCTGACGTTCACGGATGAGCTGTCCCATACGTATCCGCAACGCTTCATCTTCTCTGACGGCTTCATGACTCGTGCCACCGGGTATATCGTAAAACGGCATGTTGTAGCCGTCCCAAGGCGAGTACGGATGTCCAGCGAAAGCCCAGAATGCGGGTCCCTTACTTCCGTTCATAGCACATTTGATGATCTTGTGCTGCGTATCGTAATTTGGGGCATCTGGGTCTTCGTCCATGAAGAACCCCGCAAACCGTTTTGCCCGTTCAATGTTCTTCGGGTTTGACGGGTCTGCCATGCAGAGCATGTAAAAGAGGTAGTTCCCTTCGCCTTGGTGAAACCAGTCGTAGCCGGGTTGATACTCTTTCACCACCATCGGGTAACCGTGCCCGCTCCCATATCGCGCCATATCGTTTGTGATGACATCGAATTCCGTGTCTGCGTCAGCCAAGAACCGCGCGTCGCCACCGAGCATGTAAAAGAGGGACCAGTTATGGAAACTCTCGTAGGCATCATCGAGTCCGTCGATGCTCTGAAAATCTGGATGCGTGGGCCAGAACAGTGTTCCATCTGAACGTGTATACTTTTTCAGGACTTCTGGTCCTGCGGCGTTCATTTTGTCAATGAGTTGACGTTCGAGGATAGCCCATGTTGGTGGCGTTTGGAGGCGTGTCTGCGCTTCAATCGTTGGGAACATCATGTCTTTGCTCCTGATATTTGGATTGCGGTTGGTTGTAGTATATCATATTTTTAGCATTCCTAAAACTTATGTTTTGTCTATCAGAAACAATTTGCGATTTGAGTATGTATTGTGGTATAATTGCGCATAGTTAGTTATCCAGGACATTTGCGGAGTGTTGACTTGAGATCTTTCGCCTTATTGGGCGTATTTTAATTTAACAAGACATGTTGCCTCTGCTTGATTTGACTATGCCTCGGTTCATACCTCATGTGTTTTCCTGTCTGTCGCCTGCGGCAATGGAATTATACACAGAATTACTAAACGGAGTTGAGCTGCACGCGTGCATACCTATGGGCAACCCTTGAGAATTTATCTTGATACGTGCTGTTTGAGTCGTTTTTTTGATGATCAAACGCAAACCCGAGTCTATCAAGAAACTGAAGTTATCAGACGGATCGTTTCTCAGATTGATTCCGGACACTGGCATTTGATCTCCAGCGATGTTTTGGTGGATGAGGTAGAGCAAAACACTGACTTGGACCAACGCTTACAGATTAAAGATTTAATAACGGACGCGCACCAGACTGTTTCCGTTGAAGCGAGTGAAATAGCAAGAGGCAAGCAGCTTGAAACTTTGGGGTTTAAAGAATTGGATGCTTTGCATCTCGCTTGTGCCGAGAGCAGCTCAGCTGATATTTTCCTAACAACCGATGGCAGGCTTCTCAGAGGGGCAAAACGCTATAACGTGCAACTCCGCGTCAGGGTTGAAAACCCTTATACATGGTTCCAGGAGATGAAAGAAGATGAACGCACTGGAGATGACAGATAATGAACTTTATGAAATGGGGATTAAAGTCCTTACCAATAAACTCGGTGCCTCTGAGGTGCCGCGGTTTATTCGGCAGTGCAAACTGGGGAAAGGCGATTACTCCGTCGACCGGCATAAATTGTTAGCAAATCAGCCCGATATTGACACTATCGTCAAGCGGATCCAAGGCAGGCGTACAGCACGGGAGGCGGAGGAACGCGCTCGCGCTGAAAAATTTGCTGCACCTCAAAGCGAAATCCGAAAAATGGCAGATATTGAGATTTATGAAATCGGGAGTCGAATCCTTATCAATAAACTGGGGATTGCTGGAATGATCGGGTTTATTGGGCTCTGCCAAGAGCTTAACGGAGGTTATACTCGGGGTCTAATTAAGAATAGGGAGGAGGCTCAAGAATACATTAAACTTTACACTGCAAGCCTGACCTTCAATCCGAAAATAGTCGAAGACTACATTAAGCGCGGCAATGCCTACAGCTATATTGGTGAGCATGACAAAGCCATCGCCGACTATGACGAGGCGATAAAGCTCAAGCCTAATTACGTCAAAGCGTATTGCCATCGCGGTGTGGCTTACGGTAAGAAACGCGAGTATGACAAAGCCATAAAGGATTATAACGAAGTCATAAAACGCGAACCCAATTATGCTGGAGCCTATAGTGCGCGTGGCGAGGCATGGTTACACCGAAAAGAATGGAAAAGAGCCAGAGTCGACCTAACTTTTGCAAGAAACGCGGGAGTGGATATCGTCGCTTTATTTCATAACGACTACAAAAGCGTTGAGGACTTTGAGCAGAAGAATGGTGTTCAATTGCCGGAAGACATCGAGGCAATGTTGACGCAGCGGTAAGTCTGAAACCTAAATCTACCGTTTCCGACAGGGAGTATAGTGAAGTGGTAACGCACAAACCTAATGATGCCAAGTCATATTACAATCGTGGCAATGCTTATCGCGATAGGGTTGATTTTGACAAAGCCGTTGCAGACTATACCAAGGCGGTAGAACTCAACGCCGGTTATGCTGAAGCATATTACAATCGCGGTAAACTTTACGACGAGGCAGGTGAGTATGACAAAGCCATTGCAGACTTTAGCGCGGTGATAGAACTGGAACCTGAGCATGCCGATGCGTATGGCTATCGCGGTACCCTTTACCGTGATGAAGGTGAGTATGATAAAGCCATTGAAAATTTTAGTATGGAGATAAAACTTCGACCGGACGATGCCGAAACCTATTACGAGCGCGGTGGGGTATATGGCGAAAAAGGCGAGTATGACAGAGCCATTGAAGACTTTAGCAAGGCACTAAAGCTACACCCAGAGTTTACAGAAGTTTATGTCAAACGCGCTTTGGCTTACCTCCGCATGGGCAGGTTTGAGTCTGCTATTCAGGATTATGACAAGGTGCTGGAACTCAAACCGAAATTTATTGAAATCTACGCTGCTCGCGGTATAATGCTATTACATATAAAAGAATGGGAAAGTGCTAAATTGGACCTGATGTTTGCCAGAAATTTAAGGGTAGATATCATCAAGGCATTTCATAAAATGTACAAAAGCGTTACTGACTTTGAAGAAAAGAATGATATTCAGTTACCGGAAGACATCATGGCAATGTTACAGCGACAGTAAACCTATACCTTGATCAGAGTTTCGAGTTTTCCTTTTTTGTTCTGATATACACTCATTGTTGTGGTATGCCGTTGAAACGACACTATAGGAAGGGCTATTAACCCGATGAAAATTGCGAATGCCCCGTGTTCATGGGGCGTGCTTGAGTTTGAGTTGGACGGTGAAGCACCCGGCTACGCACAGGTGTTAGACGAGATGCACACCATCGGTTACCTCGGCACCGAATTAGGCGATTGGGGGTTTATGCCGACGGATGCGGAACGCCTCCGTACCGAACTCGCGGCGCGCGAGTTGAAGATGTTAGGTGCGTTCGTGGGGTGTCGCACTCGCCGATGAGGGAACACATGCGGCAGGTGAAGCAGCAGCACTGCGTCACGCACGCTTGTTGGCGGATGTCGGTGGCGACACGCCGTTCATTGTACTTTCAGATGACAACGCCACCACAGAACTGCGTACCCGCTATGCCGGTCGCATCCGTCCTGAACACGGATTGACACCAACACAGTGGGAGACTTTTGTACGGGGCGCGCATCGTATCGCTCGGTCAGTACGAGACGAAACAGGACTTCGCACCGTTTTTCATCCGCATTGTGCCGGGTATGTAGAGGCACCAGCAGAGGTGGACACGTTGATGGCGCACACCGATCCGAACCTCATTGGATTGTGTTTCGATACGGGACATTACCGATTCGGTGGCGGTGAACCGATTGAGGCATTTACTCGCCACGCTGACCGGATCTGGCACGTCCATTTCAAGGATTGCCATCCCGATGTCGCTGCCCGTTCTCGTAAAGAGGGATGGGATTATTTCGAGTCTGTCGGCAACGGCGTTTTCTGTGAGTTGGGCAAGGGGGACGTTGATTTCCCCGCGTTTCTTGCAGAATTACGGAAGCGGGACTACGACGGCTGGATCGTTGTGGAACAGGATGTTTTGCCCGGTATGGGGAGTCCTTATGAGAGTGCGGAACGGAATCTTCAGTATCTGAATTCGATCTTATAGCGGTCCGAGAAAATTAGGAAAGGTCTTGATGAGCAAACCCTCAAAAATCGGTGTTGGCATTATCGGCACAGGGCGCATCGGTAAACTTCACATTGAACACCTCGCTCAGAACATCCCCGAAGCTGAACTGATTGCGATTTGCGGTTTGGACCCCGCCGATATTGAATCTCTCGCAGAACAGTTTAATGTCCCGAAAACAACCAACGATTATACGGTGCTTTTGGCTGACCCGCAGATTGAGGCAGTATTAGTGGCATCTGCTACCGATACACATGTCGAAATCAGCCAAGCTGCCGCCCGAGCTGGAAAACACGTCTTTTGTGAGAAACCGATCTCCCTGGACTTGGGACAGATTGATGAAACTTTGGCGATTGTCGAGAAAGCAGGGGTTAAGTTTCAGGTCGGTTTTAATCGTCGGTTTGATGCGGGTTTCATGCGGATCCGCGAAGGGATCGCTTCTGGGGAGATTGGCGAGCCGCACATCATGCGGATCACGAGCCGGGATCCGGCACCACCGCCGATTGAATATGTCAAAGTCTCCGGCGGGATTTTCCTTGACATGACGATCCACGATTTCGATATGGCACGCTATCTCATCGGGGACGAGGTTGTTGAGGTTTATGCAGCAGGCGGTGTGCGCGTTGACCCGCAAATCGGCGAGGCGGGAGACATTGACACCGCTGTTATCACTTTACGGTTCCGAAATGGAGTTATCGCAACCATTGATAACAGCAGAGAGGCTGTCTATGGTTACGACCAACGTGTTGAGGTTTTTGGATCAAAGGGCATGGTTGCGGCAGGGAATCTGCTGACAGATACTGTTACTTTTAGCGGTAGTGAAGGAACCCGCGCTGCGTCCCCTCCGTATTTCTTTGTGGAACGCTACAGACCGGCATATCTTTCAGAGTTGCGAGCGTTTTTTGCGTGCATTCAGAAAGACACCCCGCCGCCAGTTACAGGTGAGGATGGGCGCGCACCCGTTGTGATGGGCTTCGCCGCGTTGAAGTCGCTTCGCGAGAATCGTCCTGTCCTTTTGTCAGAAATTCAGCCGTAAAAATCAGACGGCTTCTTTACTCATCACCGACTTCACCGACTTCGATGTCGATCTCATCTCGGTTTCTGACGCGCTCTACCAGGCCGTCGCGAATGTCCACAACCCGATCAGAGACATCGAGCATCTTCAAGTCGTGCGTTGCAGAAATGACAGTGACACCCTGTTCCCTATTCAAGCGTTTAATCAGGTCAATAATCTCGCGCCCTGTGATGGTATCAAGGTTTGCTGTCGGTTCATCAGCGAGGATGATGCTCGGATCATTCGCAAGTGCTCTCGCAATAGCGACGCGTTGACGTTGACCGCCAGAGAGTTCATCGGGAAGATGATACATCCTATCCCCTAAGCCCACCATATCCAGAAGTCCTTCCGCTTTTTCATTGCGCTGTTTCTCAGGAATCCCAGCGAAAATCATCGGCAGCGTTACATTTCCGTGCGCGCTCCGCACGTGCAACAGGTTGTAACTCTGGAAGATGTAGCCCACGCGGTGACACCGAAACGCCGCAATTTGCCTTTGTGAAAGTTGGGCCATATTTTGACCGTCGATGTAGACCTGTCCCTCCGTAGGGCGATCGAGTGCGCCAATCATGTTAAAGAGCGTGGATTTGCCGGAGCCGGAGGGACCCATAAGCGAGATGTACTCCCCGCGTTCAATCTCAATATTGATGCCATCCAAAGCACGAAGAATGTTTGAACCCATGCGATATTCTTTGACAACATCTTCAGTTTTCACAACGATATCAGCCATAATTTCCTCCGTGCCTATACCTCAGTACGCATTGCTTCAGCGGGCGGAAGTTTCGCCGCACGCCACGCAGGGAACGATGAACCAATCACTGCCAAAACCATGCCAAGAACACATCCAAGCAGGATGACGACGATAACACCGAGCAGCATTGTTCCGTCTTCAGACTGCGCAGGTAACAGGGGGAAATAGAAGAACAGGTCTAACCCGTAGTCTTTAAGCCCTAAAAGTACTGCACCGAGTGTGCCGATAAGCGCGCCGATGAGTGCGACCTGAAAACCCTTGAAATCCTGATTCCAGTAGGAACAGCCTGACCACGAATCCGTCTAACGCACCGAGACATTTCATCGTCCCAATCTCGCGGAAGCGTTCTGTGACCGCCATCAGCATTGAATTCGCAATACCTACGACACAGACAATCAGCGACATCACAATCAACCAAATATCTTTTGTGGAAATGCCTTTTTCCGTTGTCTCTTCAAAAGTGTTAATTGCTGATTGTCGTCCGCTCTCCTGTAACGCGAGATCGATTTCATTACTTGTCCATACTGAAACCAGGAATGCAATACCGAGTGTAATACCCTGCTGTCGTGATGACTGAACGCCCAAAACGGATTTTCAAACTCTGAAAACTAATTCGTACAGATTCTACAAAAGGGAGATCGATTTGTTCTTCAAGTGGTGTTCTTTTATGCAAATGTCTGTCTCCTTGTTTTGGTTTGTATCTATATATGTATTGTATCAGATTTACAATTTTAGGTCAAGTTTTTCATGCATATCGTTAAACATATTTTATTTTCGGTTTTCTGTACGCCGTGAGTGAAGCATTACTATTGAGCGTGTCACTGGATCGGATTATGCAGGATTGACTTTTCGACTTCTCGTTGTTATACTGGATGTCAAGAAAGGTACAAATTGATGCTCCGAAAATTTTTCCCTTTTCCACTACTATTGTTGTTTGTTGGCGTATTGTGCTGGAGTACGCCGATTTTCGCGCACGATGCTTTCTATCCACACCATCGCGAGGATTTTGAGAGCATGACGCGCCGTCGCGAGCTGCGAGTCACCGTTATCCTGAGTACCACCGTCTTTCTTTGTGTCCTTGGGACGATCGTCTACATCGCTTTACGGAAGAGCAAAGATGTTGATGACATAGACGGCAATGATGCAAAAGCGATTCAGGAACGCTTGGCGGGCGCCGCAAACAGAGCGGCACGTGCTGCTGAATATGTCCTCAACGCGGAGGGGAACGTTGCGAAAGCTGCCGAGACAGCCCTGACAACATACGCTGAAGCATCCGGTGTGACATGGCAACCGCGTTCTTATGGACAAGGTCGTGCTGAATCAGTTCCATACCAAATTCGGTGCAAAATTGGATCTGACATTGTCACTCTCAGCATCAATGCTGAAGTTATCCAATTAAAAATAGAACACCACTTTTCTAAATCGGGATTCGGTTCGCAAGGAACGCCGAGAAGTGCAACTGTTGTGCTGAAAATCGCAGATGCGGAAAAGGAAGAATTTGAAAGTGGATAAAGCATTGGTGTGGGGAACCAGTAAGTTATGCGCTGAGTCGGTTGATGAGTGCCGCGCTATAACCCGCGCCGAAACCGTTATCGATATTCACAACGGTGACACCGGACGCACAACTGTTTAGCATCCCTAATAAAGCGGCGAGTCCGCCGAAACTGGCACCGTAGCCGATGCTTGTCGGCACCGCGATGACAGGGCAGTCCACCAACCCACCGACAACACTTGGGAGTGCACCTTCCATACCGGCAACGACGATGATGACGCGAGCGTTCAGGAGTTTCTCGTGATTGCTTATGAGTCGGTGTAATCCTGCCACACCGACATCGTAAAGGCGTTCCGGTTGGTTTCCCATCATCAGAGCGGTTTCGGCGGCTTCCTCGGCGACAGGCAAGTCGGAAGTGCCAGCAGAAACGATGAGTATACCTGAAACGCCTGCATCTTCCTCAGATCGCGAGACGGTGATCGTTCGCCCAAGTTCATTATAGCGTGCCGCAGGTTGAACTTCTTTTACGGCTTTATACATCTCAGGTGTGGCGCGCGTTGCGAGGAGGGGATGTCCTGCTGCGAGGATACGTTCACTAATCTGCTTGACCTGTTCTACTGTTTTTCCTTGACAGAAGATGACTTCAGGAAATCCAGTACGAAGTTGACGATGGTGATCGATTTTTGAAAATCCTAAATCTTCAAAAGGAAGTATACGGAGGGATTGCAGGGCATCATCCACTGCAATCTCTCCGCCTTTAACCTGTTCAAGCAGGATTTTCAACTTTTCAATTTCCATTCATTTAATAGAGTTGCACGTCTACTGATCACTGTACCTGTAGGTATGTGCCTAAGGTCCGCGACCTTTTATTTCCGTCCGTATGCATCGGAAAGACGTTTAGGCTTCCTCGGTAGCCTCTTCATCAGTTTCTTCGGTGTTGTCAATACCCGGGATAGTCCCAGCGATTTTGGTTCGGACATCTGCGGAAACTTTACGGCCTGTTTCCACAGCACTTTTTACCTGATCACCTGCTTGCTGGAGGCGTTCTTTTCCACTGTCTACAATGGTGTGAACGCTTTCTCTGCCCTGTTTCACGAAGGTCTCAACGCCTTCCCTCGCACTATCGGATGCTTGGTTCGCTATCTCAACTGTCCGGTTTTTTGCTTCAGTCGACGTGTCACGAATCTTTTGTCGGGTTTCCTTGCCGGAACTCGGGGCATAGAGCAGGCTGATAACCGCGCCTGCCATGAATCCGGTAAAAAAGGCGAAAACCATTGCGAGCCCGTTGTTCTGTCCATTATCGTTCATTTTTTTATCCTTTCTATTACATTGAGATTGTTTTGGGGCAGCTTGCAGATCTCCAAATTTGGAGTTGTTTTAGTGCAGCTTGCAGATTTCCAAAACACGTTGTTCATATTTACGAAAATTAGGGTGGAAAGTTTCAATTCTCGTCTTTATCTCTTGCTGGATTCTTTTCTCATGGGGTCCTGTTGCAATTTAAATACTATACTGATTTTTTAATATAGGAAACTGACAATTTTGCCTAATTTGGTTATTCGTTAGACGCAGCGGACATTGGGACATCCTCTTCCGGTTCGGACGGTTGTGTGGAAGCGAAACTATCCCACCCCGCTTTGATGCCCTGCCACAAACCTACGATATCAGCAAGTGAAACTGCTATCTGATTGCGGAAAAACGTGGCTTGTTCAATCGTCTGACCAGAAAAACTGCTCACTTTTTGAACCAATTCATCAAGTTCTTGGATGCTTTGGTTCATGACGCTACTCATTTCTTGGATATTGTGCACGGTGGGTTGAATTTCGGACTCGCTGATTCCTTGTAAGGAAGCTGTCAACCCGTTCAGATTTTGTAGCAGTTCCGGTAGTTCCTTGTTCACCTCTTTTACTGTCTTATCCACATCGGTAATTAGTTCCCCGATTTCCTGATTAACGATGTTTTCTGTGGAGTTCAACGTATTTCGGATGCTGTTTAACGAGTTTCGGAGGCTACCGACAGCGGCACACATATATCCCGCGAGAGCTGTGAGTGCAATTAGGAAAATACCGAGGCTGAATTTCCAAAAAAGTGAAGCAATTAAACTCCAATCCATGACTGCTCCTTTGTGCATTAATTATAAGACACCGCTTCTGATAAACGGTTTTTCAAGCACACATCTGTCTTGCAGAAGGGGTATCTGCAAGTTTAAGTTTTAAGTTGTTGTCCGACAATTTCGCTGGTTTTCGCAATGGCGGTGTTCGCTTTGCTGGGATTCTTGCCACCCCCTTGCGCGAGATCTGGACGTCCCCCACCGCGACCGTCAGCCAGTTGGGTGAGTTCAGAGACGATTTTACCCGCATGCAAATCGCGGTTCTTCACCAAGTCTGGGGTGACACCCACCACGAAGGCGACTTCGTTTCCTGACACGGCGGCAAGTGCGACGACACCAGATTCTAAGCGGGTTTTGAGTTCATCAACAAGCTTCCGCAACCCGTTCCTATCCGCGTCTGTTACGAGTGAGGCGACGACCCGCACGTCTTCGACAAGTGTAGCACCTTCAACTAAAGTACCGACGTTGGCAAGGGCATACTGGCTTTTGAGTTGTTGAAGTTGCTGTTCCAAATCCCGTTGTTCTTGGAGCAATCGTTCGATCCGTTCAGGCAGAGCGGCTTTGGGTGTTTTCAGCAGATTCGCCACGTTGGTGAGGAGCGCGGTGTCTTCTTGAACCGTGGCTACCGCGGCAGTACCTGTCAGTGCCTCGACGCGTCGGACACCTGCAGCGATGCTGTTTTCGCTCATCAGTTTCACGAAACCGAGCGCACCTGTTGCGTCAACGTGGGTGCCTCCACAGAGTTCCGCGCTATAAGTGCCAGTTTGTACAACGCGCACAATGTCACCGTACTTATCGCCGAAGAAGGCTAAAGCCCCTTTCGCTTTTGCGTCATCTAACGGCATTTCACTGATAGACAACGCGTCATTTTCGCGAATTTTTTCGTTGACAAATTCCTCAATATCTCTCAATTGTTCTGGCGAAACAGATTCGTAGTGTGAGAAGTCGAACCGCAACCTACCAGCTTCAACGAGTGAACCCGCTTGTGCGACGTGTGTTCCGAGTACTTCCCGCAACCCACTGTGGAGAAGGTGCGTTGCTGTATGACTCACGGCGACAGCATTTCGGCGTTCGATATCTATCTGTGCTTGCACTGCAGTGTATGGTGTAATTTCACCTTCAAGTACCTTACATCTGTGAACAACTAAGTCTGCTGAAGGTTTGAGTGTGCCTTCTACAGCCAACCTCCCATTTTCACTCTCAAGTGTGCCGACATCGCCGACTTGTCCGCCCGATTCACCGTAAAAAGGCGTTCGGTTCAGCAGGACAAACACCTCGTCGCCCTGTTGCGCGCTGCCGACTGATTCCGCGTCGGCGATTAAAGCGACGATTTCTGCATCTATGTTGTTTTGTGTGTAGCCGACGAATTCCGTTTCACCGTGCTCTTTAAGGACTTCCGCGTAAACAGAGATTTCTTCGTCTTTGGCACCGCCTCTGGCGTCCCATGCTGCCCGTCCACGCGAACGTTGCGCCTCCATACTGTTTTCAAAGCCGACATCGTCAACTGTGAACCCACGCTCACGTGCGAGCATCTGTGTCAAATCAAGGGGGAAACCGAAGGTATCGTACAACTCAAACGCTCGCTTTCCATCAACCTGTGTGCCGTTCTGCTCCTTGAGCGTGTCAAATGAGCGATCGAGGAGTTCCAAACCGCGTTCGATTGTTTGATGAAAGCGGTGCTCTTCACCCTGAATCGTGCGAGTGATAAACTCACGGCGCGGCAGGACATCAGGAAATACATCGCCGAGCAATTCAATGACGTTATCAACAAGCCTGTAGATGAACGCTTCGTTTATCTCTAATTTCTTGCCGTAAAGCACAGCGCGTCGCAAGATCCTGCGGATGACATAGCCTCGTCCCTCGTTGGATGGCATGACACCGTCGCCGATGGCGAAGGTCAAACACCGAATATGATCAGCGATAACTCGGTGCGGTAACCCGCGTTCATCATCGAAATAGGCAGTGTCTGTCATATCAGCAATTGTTGTCAAGAGCGGTGTAAACAGATCCGTCTTGTAGTTTGAATCAACCCCTTGCAATATGGAGGTAATCCGCTCAAATCCCATGCCTGTATCTACATGTGTTGCTGGCAAGGGTTCAAGCGTGCCGTCTTCGTTTCGGTTGTACTGAATGAACACCAGATTCCAGAATTCCCGAAAGCGATCGCTCGTATTGGGACCTGCGTCTGGGTCATTTGCAGTTTCAGGGTAGGCGTCTACGCCCATGTCAACAAAGAGTTCGCTGCAAGGACCGCAGGGACCTGTCTCACCCATTTCCCAAAAGTTATCCTTATCGCAACGGCGGATGCGCGAGAGTGGGAGGTCTGTCTCTTGGAGCCAGAGTTTTTCTGTTTCGTCGTCTTCGAGATAGATTGTTGCCCAGAGACGCTCCTTCGGGATCTGCCAAAGTTCGGTCACCAATTCCCATGCAAAGGCGATAGCTTCTTGCTTGTAATAATCACCGAATGACCAGTTTCCGAGCATCTCAAAGAAGGTATGGTGACTTGGCGAGTAACCGACCTCTTCAAGATCGTTGTGTTTGCCGCTGACTCGCAGGCATTTTTGTGTATCAACAGCGCGTGTGTACTCCCGCTGTCCAATACCGAGAAACACATCTTTAAATTGGTTCATACCGGCGTTGGTAAACAACAGTGTCGGGTCACCTGCTGGTATCAAGGATGCACTCGGCACGATAGCGTGTCTGTTTTTGCGGAAGTATTCTAAGAAACTGGCTCTAATTTCATCTGATGTCATGTTAGGTGCTCTCCTACGTTATCTTTTTCCTATTATAGTCTATTCATACAGAGAAGTCAAGAGAAAACAGAAACACAAACCTGTGTGTTTACAAAAAAGTATCAACTGCATCAACAACCGATGATTGCCCCAACGGGGGCATCATGGCAAGAGATTATATTTTAGGACTTACGCACGTTGCTCTTTTGTAGCATAACCTGTTAGGTTGTGTCAAGAAACCGTCTGCGTTTTTTACACGATCTTTCTTTCAAGGCGCGGGCGATGCTCAAAATTGCGTAAGTCCTGTATTTAAAAAATCTGCTCGAGTACGTGTCGAACAGTTTCTGATCTAAACCCACGCCGTGCCAAAAACCCGTGTAATCGACGTTTAGCGACATGGATCGGCAGCCGTTTATACTGCTTCGCCCGTTTTTTGGCAATCTGGAGGGCGACTTTCGTTTCCTCTTCAGTTTCTACTTTCGCTACAACTTGTTCCGCTGTTTCTCGGTCGATGCCTTTGCCGACAAGTTCGTTCTTAAGCAACGTTTTTCCACGTGGATTGGATTTTTGCCTACGAACTATCCAATTCTCTGCATACTTCCGGTCGCGAATATGTCCCGAACGAATCAACTCTTCAATAGATGTCTCAATTGCTTTGGTTGAGAAGCCTTCTCGCTCAAGTCGCTGTTCCATCTCATTTTTGGTATAAATTTTAGGCTTTCCTACCGGTCGAGGATCCTCTGACCCGTCTACGTCTACTGCGAGGTTATCCTTCTCTTCGCGGAGTAACCTGAGCGCGTAGTTCTTCGCACGCATCACTTCATCAGCCGCAATTAACTTTTCGATGATCTCAGCTTCAATTTCTAAACCGATACGCAATCCAAATTTTTCAACCAAAGATGTATGAATCACGACAAATGGAGTGTCGTTCAGAAAGAGTTGTTGATGTGCAGGCAATTCAGGGACCGCTTGAATATTGGTAATTTTCTGCTTCATGTTTTTCTACGGCTGTTAGAAAACCGCTGTGCGAAGAATGTAGTGTAAGAGTGAGCGCGAGGTTTAAGAAAAGTTGTTGGGCAACCTATATTACAGAGACCTCGCGCTTCAATAAGAGATGTTTACTATAACAAACTAAAGTTTGGACAATTCGTGTTGCATGTGAGTTGAGTTTGCAAAGGCGTGTGTGTTTTTCCGAGGGTTGCAAACACTCACGGAACTCTGAGAAAAATACCGCACTCCAGCCAGAGTCATTTAGTTTTCGGTTTTTTGGGCAATATTTTTCACAGATGTTAAGGTTTTCGCGCAATATCGCGAGCACAGCTCGCTCCTACAGCGGAAAAATGTTCACACACATAAAGTAAATATGTAAAACTAAATGACCCTGCACTCCAGCGGAGTGCTATGTCTATAGAAAACGGTATATCCACCCTCCCACACTCCAGCGGAGTGCTATGTGTCCTGAAAGGATATGCCGCATCTCTAAGAAAAATACTGAAAATTGTCCAAAGCTTAGTATAACAAAAGACTTTAGCGTTTATTCGCCGCCGTTGCTACCTGCCCAGAGAGCACCACGTTGCAGGAGCGTTTCAAACATCTCGTGCTTACACGCCGATGCGTCATGACCGAGCGCGAGATAAAACACTTTGCCTTCGCCCCAATTTTTTGTCCATGCGACCGGTGCGGCGTTGCCTTTCCATAACGCTGATGCGAGTACGTGGTTCCGGGGATCGTAATCGAGGATATACTGCTCATCCGTCACGACAAACTCGTCAAGTCCTTCTGTGATCTCGTGCTCACTATCGACGATGCTAACCTGATAATCGCGGTAGCGCGGATGTGTAACGAAATAGCCACCTACCATTGAGCGGTACTCCGGACACCCACGAAATGAATCTGCTGCCGAATGCACGCCGACATATCCTTTGCCTGAAGCGACGTGGTTGAGCAAACCGTTCTTCTGTGCGTCCGAAATCTCGCCAACTGTGTAATAGAAAACAATGAGATCGTACGGATCTAAGTTCGGTGAAACGAGAGCATCCAGGTCTTCCTCGACTCTCGTAATTTCAAATTCATCTTGCTGTGAGAGCACCTTCACGATTTCATCACTGCAGCCTTTCCAGTCGTGGATTGCTCCGCCTGCAAAAACGAGTGTGTTAATTTTTGCCATTAGTTAGCCTGTTCCTTTTAACCTGAGCATTTCTATAAAAATCTATAGAAATCTCGGTTTGCACGCCCCTTCGGGGCATAGTGAGACTTACAAAGTTAGGGTCTCCGTGACACTAACGCTCTTAACTTCCGAGTGTCCTCACAAGGTCTGGGTTCGTCTCACTCGCGTATGAACCCATCGCAGTTGCACCGACTGGGTTGTTGTCGGGTGTGTTTGGTTTTTACACGACGCTACTGGATACGGTAGAGGGGAATCGAACCCCCGAAACGCCTACGTTTACCGTTTTTGATTAGATTTAGAGGGTTCTATCAAGGTCATGCGCCTTGCTATATGATATTGCTATTATAGCACGCGTGCAAAAATGCAAGCAACTTTTTTTTGGTATTCCGGTTTTATAGTAAAATCCGAAAATATGTAGATCTTTCAGAAAGTAGGATCACTCTCCGCTGGAGCGGAAACAAGCCGGATGTGGCTAATTTGCTATTAGAGGTCTCCGAAAACTGTTTGAATCCTTTGGTTGTGGGAGGGGTTTGTAACCCCGATGATGGCGCTCTAATTTGCCTGAAAACCAGTCTTGTGATATAATCATGCAGTGTGAGAAAAGTCCGCTATTTCGCTGGTCATTGCCAGCAATTTTTACCAGAAAGGAATCTGAATGCCAAAGAAAATCGCCATCTTTCCTGCCAGTTTTGATCCAGTCACGAACGGGCACGCCGACCTCATTGATCGGATTTGCAACCTCGGTGTCTTTGATGAGCTCGTCGTTGCGATCGGTGTTAATCCCCTGCCAAACCGGCGCGTTTCACGCTTGAGGAACGTACCCAGATGCTTGAGGCTGTCATCGAACCGTATCCGCAAGCCACGATTGATGGCTATACCGGATTGACGGTGCATTACGCACAGGAGCGCGGCGCGTGTGCGATTGTCCGCGGTTTACGTGAGGTCTCCGATTTTGAATGGGAATTCAAGATGGCACGGATGAATCAGCAGATCGCCCCCGATATTGACACCCTTTTTATGATGGCAAATACACAATATGCTCACATTAGTTCAACCTTGGTGATGGAAGTCGTGCAGATGGGGCAAGGAAAAGTCGGTGCGGAGAAGTTACGGGAGATGGTACCGGCAATCGTGGTCGAATTTATCAAGAAAAAATTTGATGTGCTGTAAATGGTTGTCAGTCGTCGTAGTATCGTTAAGGTTTCGATTTTAACTTAAACTTGGGGATCCGAAATTGTCAGAACCCTCTTAACCCACACTGACAGTAACTAACACTTTAAAACCGTGTCCGGCCAGACTACTGAAACCTGGGCGTTTACACCCGTGCCGTGTGGACGGTACCGTCGATCAAGCAAGTTTTCGAGTGATAGCGTCAAGTGTGTGTAATCGAAGAGTTTAATCCCGCCACGAACGTTGAGGGTCCACCACCCTGGGGTCCCGGCATCTACTGCATAGCCATTGGAATCGAATTCAACTTCAGCTGGATCGCGTGTTTTTCCGGGCATCCGTGGGTCGCGGATATCGCTTCGGTTCATTCGTCTCTGTTCCGCTGCCGCGCGCACATAGAGGGTCGCCCAATACTGTGTATTCAACGGTTCCCACTGGACCCCAACGATCCCGTTCAATGGAGGCTCCCTACGCACACGTGCTTCCCAAGGCTTCTTTGGATCTGGTGCTTTGCCATTAATCTTGAGTACTTCTCCACGTATCAATGCCGCATTACCGTAGACCGACCAGACGGGATCAATCGGAATTAATCCAGCGAATTCAACGCCCTGAAACTGTGCTTCGTCGACATTATCAAACACGAGTACGTCAATGCCCTCGTATTCTTCGATCAGGTCTTGGTGGAGTTGCGGAAGTGTTTCACCTGCGTACGCTTCCTGAACAGGTTTGCGCGCAACTAAACCGCTAACGCGACTGTGGAATAGCGTTAGCGCACCACGGAAGTAGGCGTGTTTTGCCTTGAGACCGCTCTCAACTGTCCACGAAGTTTCCGGTCCAAGATCGGGACTCGGTGCTGTGACACCCTCATTGGTGACTTCCACCGCCGTTGTATCGTTCAACGAAGGCGCACGAAATGCTGTTCCGAAGCTGCTTACGAAGTTCAGGTACTCTGTCAAACCGACCACCACTCCTGCGCTTCCTGTCAAACTGTTGTCGAATACATTGAATTCGTCAAAACTCTGATCTCGGATAGAGAGGTCTGCATTGGTTTGATAAAACGTAGCGCGTCCGCCGAGTGTAAGTTCGACACGGTCGTGTACCGTAATTTCATCTTGAAGATACAGACTCGCGTCCCAGAACTGAGAACCGTTAATGAAGCGCCCAATGTCTTCATTAATATCTTCCTTGCCTGTCTTGATATCTGTTTTGACAGTACGGCTCTGGATCATGTCCAAGTAGAATTCACCACCGCCGACCAAGCGTTGCCGCGGAAGGATTGAGCTAACCGCTTGTGCACTTAAGCCGATGGTGTTAACCGTATCATATCGCTGCCGCCGAGATGTTCGAGTCGAGTGCTACCTCATTTTGCCCCTCTTTTTGGTGGTGATAAGAGGCTGTCAGACGGAACGAGTCGATGCTTCCTCTACGGGGGTTACTAAATAGTTGGCATAGACGAGATCCCGATTTTGTCGGTTCAAAAAAGAATTCATCAAACTCCTGTGGTGCGATTTTATCGTAGCGCGGGGTTTGCGGCTGTCGCCACATCTGGTAGGCAACGTTGATCGTGCTTGTGTCGCTGAGTTGATACGCAATCTTTGCATCGGCATCGTAGGCTTTCCAACCCAGCGGACCTTCGTTGTCAATGAGCCATCTCTCAGGGATATTATCTTTTGACAGTTTACTGATCTCATCATAGTCATAGAGTTTCACGCCGCTTGGCATTTCGTCCACGATTTCAAATTTCCGGTTTTTGTAGTGGAGGTCGTACCCGCTGCCGGGGTTCATATCTCCATAGAATCGCGCACCACCGCCAGCAATAAATCCGAATCGACCTTTATTTCCTGTTACCTCCAACCGACCGAGCCGTTCCTGCGTGGCAGTCGTGTAGCGAGCAAGGAGTCGTGGCTGGATATTCCAGGTTTGCTGCGCTGGATTGAGCGGGACTGCTTTCGTAAAGAAACTAACGACACCACCCATAGCACCGCTTCCATATAGCATGGAGCTTGAACCGAGTAACACCTCTGCTCGATCTAATATTTCTGGTCCGATGGTTGCCGTGTACTGGTTTGGTCCTGAACGGAATGTTGAATTATTCAAACGGACCCAGTCGACCTGTATCAACGTCTGATAACCGGTTAAGCCTCGGAGTAGCGGTGAGCCTTGTCCGACTGTCGTCTGCTGTGCGCTAACGCCGACGGCATCACGAAGTAGGTTGGACGCGTGCTCTGCATTGGTCCGTTCCAATTGTTTTAGGTTAAGAACGGTAATAGCATTAGGTGTTTTGAAAGGATCTTTCTCAGCGCGCGTTGCTGTTACCGTGACCTCCTCCACTTCTACGACTTCTTTGTCGCAGTCCTTTTCCGCGTACGCGTGGGGAATCCAGCTCAGTGATAGACTTAGATTTATGATTAGAATAAGATATAACGGTTTTTGCATGGTAGCGCCCTCCTTTGAATTTTACTTTATTATTGTGTGTCGTTCAGGTGCCTGATGTTATCTGCAACCTGTGCTTTACTTATTGCATGTTGCAAATTGTATGCCATTCGCAATTTTACGTAAAATCGGCGAATTTCCGCCCCATTTCTGTCATAATTTGTGCTATAGAGTTCATTTATTGGACACTCGGAGACAACATGACGAAAACTCTAATTTCTTCTCTTGCACGCAAAACGCATTTCGTGGTATTCTATTCTCCAAGGAGAGTCCGATATGCCCCGCACTGCGAAAGAATTATCACCTGAAGAATTGAAGCAATACCACTTACGTCTCAATCAGCACTTCCAAAACCGGGATCCGGTAGATGAGGCGTTACTGTGCCGCGCTTGGCAAATCGCATGCCAGGTAGCGGTTATGCTCTATGAAAACTTCGGGGCAACACAGGTTGCAGTTTTCGGATCGCTCGCCGAACGGGTTAAAACAATATTTCCCAGGATCTCCGCGGAACTAGACATATTCATCACGTGGTTAGAACAACAAGGGTCAGATTAACAGACAACGAAACAGGAGCAGGTATGTCGAAACAGAAATTAAATTTCGCATTCATCGGGTGTGGGGGCAATGCACGTGGACACGGACGCAGTGTCTCAAGTGTCGAAGGTGTAGAGATTGTTGCTCTTGCCGATCCAAGTGAAGCTTCTCTTGATGCGTTTAAAGAGACCGTCGGTTTGGAAGATTCACTTCCCACTTACACCGACCACGTTGAGATGTTAGATGCCGTCAAACCGGATGCCGTCGTCATTAGTTCACCGCACGGTCTCCATTTCCAGCATATTATGGATGCGCTTGACGCAGGATGCCACGTCCATACCGAGAAACCGATGGTCTGCACGGTGGATCATGCCAAGCAGGTGATTGCGAAGGTAGAAGAGACCGGTTTGCACCTGATGATAGGTTACCAACGGCATTTGAGCCCTACCTATCAATACTGTCGCCGAGTGGTCCAGAGTGGTGAACTCGGGCGCGTTAACTTCGTCTCTGCACATCAGTCTCAGAATTGGTATCGGAATCAACAGGGCAAATGGCGACAAGACCCGTTTCTCGGTGGTGGTGGGCAACTGAACGACTCAGGGAGCCACCTGATTGATATTCTCCTCTGGGTGTTGGAAGCCAGTCCCGACACTGTCTTCGCGATGATAGACAACTTAGACATTGAAGTAGATGTCCTCACGGCGATGTCGATTAAGTTTGATACAGGTGCCTTGTGTAATATCAGCATTGTCGGACATGCGTATGGCGGCGTTCGAGAAGATTTTTCCATCTGGCTTGAAGAGGGCGCGCTGTATCTCCGCGCAGGTCAGCTCCACCGCCAAGAAGGGGACGGGAAGTCGGAACTTGTTGATGACTCTGAAATGCCGGAACAAGCCAACAAGGATGTCGCTTTTATTGAACTGATCCGTGGTGAACGGACAGAGAATCCGATCGGTGTTGAAAACGGATTGCGCGTCATCCAGTTAACCGAAGCTGCCTGGCAATCCGCCGAACTCGGCAGACCCGTCAAGGTCGATCTGAGTTGAATGTCTGCGCCACTTGGGTTTCCTATTAAGATTGGATACCCTTGAACGCTCTAAAACAATTGTTAAAGTGCTGTGAGCAGGCAACAACGGAGCCTGCGGATCTTAAGAGGGAAATTTTATTCAACGAAGGCTGTATTTTTCGCGCGTGGCGCAAAATTAAAAATGCTGGATGTCCAGAATCTCTGCAAATCCTTTGACAAGAAGCCGTTTCTTACGGAACTTACGTTTCAGGTGGCAGTCGGGGAATGCCTCGTCCTACTCGGTAAGAATGGCGCAGGTAAAACGCTCCTACTCAACATATTGGCGACCTTAGTCGAACCGACATCAGGTAGCGTCTCTATTAATGGCATTGATGCATTTGCGAACTTGAAACAGGTGCGTCCAAGCATTGGGTATGTCCCCGTCGCGTTTGAAGGGTATCCTGAGTTGTCCGTCGTAAATTACCTCAATTTTTTCGCTGCCGCATACAAATTAGAGAAGCGCGAGCGCGTCGGAGCAGTCGATGCAGTGCTTGAATTGATGGACATTCAGCACCTACGTGAGTTCAAAATTGGTGCTCTATCAACAGGAGAGCGACAGCGGCTTTTATTCGCCAAAACCTTTCTGCACGAACCACAGTTATGGTTGCTTGACGAACCGCTCGCACCGCTTGATCCGGATGGACAGGTCGAGATGACGGAACTTCTCGGTGAACTCCAAGCGATGGAAAAAACCGTCGTAATTGCTACCAATCGTCTTGAGGATGTTCGTCGCTTGTGTGGTTCTGACTCGCACGTCGAAAACCTCGTCGGAATCCTGGACAACGGTCAATTTGCTGTCTTCAACACATTTAGCAAGTTACGGCAGGAAGTTACAGAAGACGATAGCACAGAAGGTCCCCTCATCAAGTTGGTTGAATGAACTTTTCGCGCAGCTCGCAAGTTAAAACTTGCGCTACAAAAGTCTGGAGGTTACAAAAACATAATGTCAGATATCGGAAAATTCTTTCAGGAAAACGGATACTATTTCGCCAAAGGGTGTCTATTCGTCCGAAGAGATCAATGCGATGGAAAATGACTTCGATCGGATCGTGGATCAACTCCTCAAAAGCGATGAGAACGTCAATGCACGCTGGGGTGGTAGATTGATGGATGCCCTTGATGGTGGTGAATCTGTTATCATCCATACCCACAATATCCAGAGCTTCTCCGCTGTCTGGATGCAGGCATTCTTGCAGGAGAAGTTTCTTGATGTTACTGAAGCCATTCTCGGACCCGATATTATGCTCCATCATTCCAAACTCTTTTGCAAACCGCTGGAAAAAGGTGCTCCCCTTCCCGATGCACCAAGATTGGCAGTACTTCCCCTCCGTCAAAGACAGCATGATGGCTGCTATCATCTACGTTTCAGAGGCTACGGATGAGATGGGGTGTGTCCGCGTCTATCCTGGCTCCCACCAATTGGGACGCACCGATGGTATGATGGGAAGCGGAAAGAACGTTGAAGTTACCGAACAATATCCGATTGAAGAAGCGACCGTTCTGGAAGCAGAACCCGGCGATGTACTTTTCTTTAGTTACTTTACCCTGCACGGTTCGATGCCGAATCGTCGAATCAGACGCGAAAGAGTGTTCTCGTTCAAATGCATGCCGGTGATGATGAGATCGAGTCCGAAAATCGCCACACCAACGTCCAATTGGTACTTCGTGGCTGGAACCATTTTGCAACCCGTTCTTCTGTTGGAAGCATTAAATAATTTTCTATAGCAAATTTCGCCCAAAAGGAGCATTACATGATTAGAGTCGCAAAGATTAGCATGGCGCATGTCCACGCCGGTGGCTACGCCCGCAAAATTCACGAAAACCCTGAAACCGAACTCGTTGCCGTCTGGGACGAAGAAGAATACGGGGGAAGAGCAACAGCGGAACAATACGAAGTCCCGTTCTACACCGATCTCGATGAAATCCTCAGCCGTGATGATGTGGATGCCGTCTCCGTCGATGCGATCACATCCGATCATCCGCGTGTGATTATCGCCGCCGCTGAAGCCGGGAAACATATCTTCACAGAGAAGGCACTCGCTATTACCGTCGCGGGGTGCGATCCTATTATTGATGCCGTCGAGAAGGCGGGTGTAAAGTTCATGATTTCGCTGCCTTCGCGTTGCAATCCAGAAATCCTGTTTGCGAAAAAGGCGATTGATGATGGACTGATTGGTGACATAACGTTCGGTAGGGGACGGATTGCGCATTCCGCCGGCCTGGATAGTTGGTTCAGTGGCACGAGCGCGTGGTTTGCTGATCCAGAACGCGCAGGTGGCGGTGCCCTCTTTGACTTGGGGTGTCACCGTGTCGATGTTATCCGGTGGTTGATGGGTGAACCGAAGAGTGCTATCGCTAAGATTAACAACTTCACTGGCAACTTTCCGATTGATGATAACAGCGTTTCAGTTGTTGAATTCGCGAACAAAGCACTCGGCGTAATTGATGTCGCTTGGACACACCGCTCCGGTCCGAATATGCTTGAAATCTACGGCACAGAAGGCTCATTTGCCGCAGGACACGGCGAGATGCATTTTGAAACCCGCAAGCTTTCTGATGAGGAGAAGGCGGAATACATCGCCAATGCGCCTGCAGCACCGCCTGAACCGATCCAACAGTGGATTAACGCTATTCTTCGCGATGAACCGATGACCATTACTATCCAAGATGGACGGAACCTCACGGAGTTGATGCAAGCGTTCTATATGTCCTCTGAACAGGGACAGTCAATTGATTTTCCACTTTAATGGTTATCGGTTTTCAGTTTGCCTCCCAGTGAGAGTTATCGGTTAAGAGGCTTGCGGAACCCAAAAGCCCATTGTGGCTGCCACAAATCACACGAGTGCTACAAAAGTCTTAACTGGAAATCGGTAGCCTGCAACAACGGCGCAGGCGTGTCTACGGAGAGGCACGTCAATGACCGAACCCACTTCACCGAACCGCAAGGAAAATTTAAAAACATGCAAGACTACCAACCAATTGCACTTTCTACTTTGTGCAATGTCGGCGCAGAGATTATTGGCGAAAATGCAACGCCAGGTATCGGAGCACAGACGTTCCACGGGCTACCTTTCGACATCGCTGAAGGCGCAACCTGTTTCTTGGGCTTCGGTGAAGACGTTAACACTGACCCTATCCAAGTTCCTGTCGGTGCAAGCCCGAAGCGGGTTGTCTTTGTGCATCGCCTGCTTGAGTCAGGCATTCCTGAAGGTGAACCGATCGCGAGGCTAATCGCCAATTATGTTTTTCGTTACACCGATGGCGAAACGGTGAGTGTGCCGATTCGCGAACGCTTTGAGATCGGCAGTGTGCCACAGGGCTGGGGGCAACAGACGTTCCTCGCTATACCTGACCGGCAGGAAAGTTTATCGCCACGACACGAGGGACCTTGGGGGTCCGCGGGCAACCGACAAACGGAGGTGAGCCAAGGGACGCCGCGCGACTACTATTTGTGGACCTGGAAAAATCCGAGGGACGGCGTTGAAGTCGCATCAATTGAAATTCAGCCACAAGAACGGCGTTTTATTGTTGCGGCAATCACGCTCGGTTATCTTGACGAAGATCCGATACCGCGTCGTCCCCGTCGCGAAGTCAAAATCACACTTCCTCAATCTGATGATGCCGACAAACCCTTTGATATGGAGGTCAATGTTGACCGTGGTGTTGCAACATATCCGTATCCGTTGCCGGAAAACGCGCCCGATGCCTTCATCAACGATGATTTCAAAGGTTGGGGTGAATCCCAAAACAACAAGAGCAGTCCTGCGTATGTTGAGGTATCTGCCACTCCTTCCGCAAGTGTTGAAGTCAAGAACCAGGGCGAAACACTCGGCACTGTCAACTGGGGAGAGGTACAGGAAAAGGGTATCGTTCAACCCAACGAACGCGTTAAGGTAGAGGTTATCGACTCTGGCAGAAACTGGGTGCATACCACCGTAATTGACGAAGATACGAACAGACCCGTGCCGTGTCGCGTCCATTTCCGTTCCCCGCACGGTGTACCGTATGCGCCGCACGGACACCATGCCCACGTCAACTCAAACATGGGCACCTGGCACACGGATATTGGTGGTGATGTCCGTTTAGGACAGATTAGTTACGCCTATATTGACGGCACGTGTCAAGGGTGGCTCCCTCGCGGTGAAGTTATCGTTGATGTTGCTCGCGGCTTTGAATACACCCCCTTGCGGACCACTATCAACATACAACCCGGACAACGCGAGTTGACACTGCGGTTAAAGCGGTGGTGTAATATGAACGCTGAACGCTATTTCAGCGGCGACACGCACGTCCATTTCCTGTCTACACAGGGTGCGCATACCGAGGCACAAGGTGAAGATCTCGGTGTTGTCAACCTTCTTCTCTCGCAGTGGGGGCATCTCTTTACGAATACCGAAGAATTCATCGGAAGACCCACAACGTCTGCCGATGGACGAAGCATTGTCTATGCGACGCAGGAGAATCGCCAACATCTTCTCGGTCATCTCACGCTGCTCGGCTTAAAGGAGCAGGTCGCGCCGTGGTGTTCCGACGGTCCGGGGGAAGCCGAACTCGGTGGAAATATGGAGGTCACGCTTTCGCATTGGGCGGATGCGTGCCACGCGCAAGGCGGCACCGTCGTTTTGCCACACATTCCAAATCCGAATTGTGAACCGGCGACACTCATCGCCACCGGACGTGTAGACGCTGTCGAGTACCTCACCAATGCCATGTATGGGCATCTTGAGTACTACCGCTATCTCAACTGCGGCTATAAACTGCCACTTGTTGGTGGGACGGATAAGATGAGTAGCGATGTCCCGGTAGGGTGTTTATCGCACCTACGTTCATATCCCCGACAATGAGGAATTCAATTACGATAACTGGTGCAAATACATGAGTGCTGGAAATACATTCCTCAGTGGCGGTCCCATGATCCGTCTTAGCGTTGATGGACAGCCGATCGGTAGCACGATTAACCTGCCCGGTAACGGCGGCACGGTTGAGGTTGAAGCCTCCGCAGATTCCATCTTCCCTATCCATACCTTGCAGATTATTCAGTCGGGACACGTGGTTGCCTCGACTGAGGACAAAGATGGTAAAGCACATCTACGCCTGAAGGCAAATCTGAATGTGGACAAACATTCGTGGATTGCGGCGCGGTGCGGCGGGCCGAATTATGCACAAGCAGTTCCACACCACGATGGATGGGGACGCGGCATCATTGCCCACACCTCCCCCGTCTACATAGCGGTCGGTGGTGAGTGGTGGATGTTCGATCCGGAAACGGCGAACTACATGCTGACTTTAATTGAGGGTGGGTTATCCTATATTCAACAGACAGCGCGCCACCATGAACATGGTACTGTGACACACCATCACGGCGAGGATGACCATTTGGAATTTCTCTCTCGTCCGTTCCAAGAGGCACGAGAGGCAATTCACCGTCGAATGCATCAATTGGGTATCCCGCATTAAAGTAGTAGGCACACTCCGTGTGCCGTTAACCACTTTTAGTAAAGCCCGAAAATATGTGAACACCGAGGATTTGGGCATTCCCGCCTCGCTGGCGAGGTTTCCTAACCTCGCCAACTCTAATGTGTATAGGTAATTATAGGCTTTACTATTAAGGAGACAAGCATGCCAAAAGAATTAGTTGCGATTGCCCCTCGGCAACCCGTTTTGAGAGAGTATGAGGATGGTCCCGTCCCAGCAGACAGCGTCCGTGTTCAAGTCGAATTCGGTGCCCCCAAGCGCGGTACTGAACTGACAGCATACTACGGATACGGAAGCCCAAATTTTCCACTGGGACTTGGGAATATGTGTGTTGGAAGAATCATTGAAATCGGGGACGACGTTGAGGGTTTCGAGATTGGAGAACGCGTGGTAAGCCACGGGCACCTCAAGGAGACGCACACATGGCGCGCGGGTGGTGTCCTCAAGATGCATGATCAGATGACGTGGAAAGAGGCGGTCTGCTATGATCCAGCCCATTTTGCGATGTCCGCTATTCGTGATGGAAAAGTTCGCGTTGGTGAGCGGGTTGCTGTCTTTGGGCTTGGTGCCATTGGATTGATGACGGTGCAGATGGCGCGGATCGCCGGGGCTGATTTCGTCGCTGCCGTAGACCCGATTGAAGGACGGCGGAAAGTCGCTGAAAAGACGGGGGCGGAACTTGTGATTGACCCAACTGCCTGCAATGTTGGCGAAGTGCTCAAAGAAGCGACCGGCGGACTTGGCGTTGATGTGGCTGTAGAAACCAGTGCAGTGTACAAAGCACTTGATGATGCCATTCGCAGCGTCACTTTTGAGGGAACAATCGTCTACGCTGGACGCGCGAAAGAATGCACTGGTGGACTTGACCTCGGGGCTGTCGCGCATGTCAACATTCCGAACATAATCTTTGCACGCGCCAACAGCGATCCGAACCGCGATCATCCGCGTTGGAATTTCAGACGTATCATTGATACCTGTTGGAAATGGCTTGCCGCAGGGCGATTTGACTGTGAAGATGTCGTTGATCCAGTGGTGCCGTTTGAAGATTCAGTCGAAGCCTACATAGAGATGGACAATCATCCCGAACGGAGCGTCAAATTGGGGGTGTCCTTTGGTTGAGGTTTTTTAATGATTAGGACTTACGCGGGCTGCTCTTTTGTAGCATGATGCACGTCGCATCTGGGCGAGTACGCCGCAAAACTTTTAGTTTGTGTCAGGAGACTGTCTGGTTTTTTCAGGAATCCTCTCTCCTTGCAGGTTTCTGGTGATCCTAAAGACGTAGCCTGCAACAACGGCGCAGGCGGATTTAAGGAACGCACGATAAAGTCTTAACGCACGTCGTTTAACCGCAAGGAAAAATTAAAAATTGGCGATCAAAAAGATGCCGAGGATCATTACAACAGCCGCGATCAAGCGACGTTTTGTATAGGTTTCTTTCAGGGCATAGCCACCGAGCAGAACAACGAAAATGACAGAACACTGCCGAACCGCAGTCACGTAGCTGACCTTTTCTGTCATCAAAACGTAGAGGATGAGCGAATAGGATATCAGCGAAAGTCCAACAACAGCGAGAGCCCGTTTCCATTCTCTTTGTCCAATCTGGACAATTTGCGGGTGTGGAAACCGAGCAAGGCAGGACAATCCGTAAAAAACTTGCGAGATACTGTTCTCCATTAAATAGTAGGTCACGGCTCGCCACAACGGGGCATCCGCCGAGTAGCGATGAAATTCAGACATCCCTTGCTTGTCTATCAATGAGTATCCAACGACGCTCCCCAGGGTTGCAAAAGCCCAGACGGAATCGGGTTGGCGAAGATAGCGCAGGAATGCAGTGAACTGGATGCGCGCCTCGCGTTGTTGGTAGAGCACTATGGAGATTATGACACATAAGATGCCTACCAAGCCTTGTGCCGAAATTCGTTCCTTTAGGAGAAGAAAGGCAAAGAGTGGCAGGAAGGCTGGGGCAGCGCGTGTAATCGGATAAACAAACGAAATCTCGCCAACTGTATAGGCGTGCGTCAAAAACAGACGGTAGAACAGATGCACCAGTGCGGAGCCAGCAATATAGCCCCATACCGGTTTCGGAACTACCGGATGCTTGATACCAAAGGCAATGAACGCTATGACTACGGTGTAAAATCCACACCAAAAAAAGAGAATTCGTATATCTCTGCTGGATTTGCTGTAGAAATTCCATAAGGCGTGGCAAAATGCTGACAGCAGAATTAAAGCGATTGAAGTAAAGTCCATAGGACCCCTTGTCATCTGTAGTTACAGGGTCTGTGTCTGTTTGTTAATGGCTGTCGGCAATCAGAGATCAGTAATCAGTTGAGCGGATTTTGTTGGGTATTAACTTCTGCGACTGACTGCTGAAAGGATTTTTTCATAAAATCCGCCCTGACTGCTGACTACTATTTCAGGAGGTAATTATGTTCACAAAATCGAAAAAATACCAGCATTTTATTTTATTTGGGCTTGTCTTTGGCATACTTGCCCTCACAGCAACCGTTACCCTCACACAGGAATCGTGGTTTCCTTCCGAGTGGGGTGCCGATGATCGGCGCGGTGCTGTCAACCGATTAACGCCAGAGAAAGTGTTAGAAGCCGCCAGTTTAATAAAAGTTGGAGAGGTTTATCAACTCGGCAGAGTCTATGAAAGTGGTATCCCTGTCTTTGGGACGCGGCATTATAGCCTGCGAATTCCAGCGATGTCGGGTCCACTCGGTGAAAACAAAACGACGTGGTTTGAGGAGATCTTCAGCGGCGAGATCGGTCAGATCGGCACGCAGTTCGATGGGCTCGGTCACATCGGTATCGGCGACCTCTACTACAACGGATTGGACCAGCGCGATTTCGCCAAAGCCGAAGGACTTGCGGAGCTTGGTGTTGAGAACGTTGGACCGATTGTGACGCGAGGTGTTCTGATTGATGTCGCTGGCTATAAAGGTGTTGAACACCTCGGTGATAATTATGAAATTACACGCGCCGATCTGGAGGGTGCGCTGAAAAAACAGGGTGTCCAGATTACGCCTGGCGATGTCGTTGTCATTCACACGGGTTGGGGTAAGTTCTGGATGACAGATAATGATCGCTACAATACCACCGAGCCCGGTATCGGGTTGGAAGCAGGGCAATACCTCGTTGACCAGAAGATTGTGATGTTGTGTTGCGATAACTGGGGAATTGAGGTCGTCCCGAATCCTGATGAAACCCTCGCCTTTCCGGTGCATCAGCTGTTTATTGCCAAACACGGCATTTACAACCTTGAAAACATAATCACAGAGGAGTTAGCGGCGGCGAAGGCTTACGAATTCGCCTTCAGTTTCGCACCGCTACGTCTCAAAGGTGCGACGGGTTCCCCCGGCAATCCGATCGCCATCCGATAGTTTCTTATGATGGGACAGCAGCCTTGCTGTCCCATACTCCTTCTTTTTCCCATCCCCGTATCTGCACAAATCCGTGCAGTTGTTTTCCCCCGATTGCCCTATTTCGTGCAGTCAGCACACACGCCAAACCCACTAAATCCGTAATATCTCCTGTTTTTTCCCATTGTTTTATAGTAAAGTCCAAAAATATGTGGACAGTTAGTCAGTGAACAACGACCCCACCGCCGCTGGCGAGGTTTGTATCCTCGCCTCTTTAGAGCGTCCAAGTAATTATAGGCTTTACTATAAATTGGCATAGAAATTGCTACTTACCTGACAGGGTTAACGAGGAGTGGTTATTGTGATGCCCCGAATTTTTCGACAGACCTTTTTGAAAATGAACAGATTTGCGTTCACTGGACATTTTATGTTTATCGCGAGCGTTTTACTGGCAGGGTGTACAGCCCCGGCGCATTTGAGGCATAAATCAGATGTTTTATAGTAAAGCCGGAAAATATGTAGACATCTCAGGAGGCACCAACCTCACTCCACCGCTGGCGAGGTTTGTAACCTCGCCTATCCGTGATGTCCAAGTAATTGTGGACTTTACTATAAATTGACCACAACTTATGCCTAACGGAAGTAATTATTTAGGGAGATTCTCCATGAAAGTCCTACGTGTTTTCTGTGTGTATTGCCTGAGCTTAGGATTGCTGTGTTCTGTCTCTGCGAAACCACTCACAACCGAAAAAATTATCTTTTCGTCGAATCGGGATGGCAACTCGGAAATTTATATGATGAATCCCGATGGCAGTCAACAGGTTAGATTAACCAATCACCGCGCAGCCGATTTCAATCCGGTCTGTTCACCGACAGGGGAAGAAATCCTCTTTGTTTCCAATCGAAGTGGGGAGCATGATCTCTATATTATGCGTGCTGATGGACAGGGAGAGCGACCCGTGTTTCGCACAGCACCCGCATACAGAGATGACCCCGCCTGGTCCCCTGATGGGAAAAAAATTGTTTATTCTCAACTTGACCGCGATGCTAAATTTTTAAGCATCTATACTGCCAGGGCAGACGGAACGTCGGTAACCCGCGTTGTTGAAATGGAAAAAGCGTATGGTGAAGAACCCGTTTGGTCCCCGGATGGAACAGAAATCGCATTTGTTGTACATGGAGAGATTCATTGGGCGAGCCGCCAAATCCGATTTATCAACCTAAAAACCCGCAAGCAAGAGACGCTCCTACCGGATGACTTTCCGCGAATGTGGCAACCGGCGTGGTCGTCTGTTCACAACAAAATCGCCTTTTCTTGGTATAAACCAGAACATCACCCACAGTCCATATTCATCGCCAACCGCGATGGGAGTGGGCTTCAGCAGATTGTTGACGGGCTGTCAAGCACACCCGCTTGGTCGCCATCAGGTGATGAACTTCTCTATACACAAATGGTCGGAAACGAGTCTCAAATCTTCAAAATCAACGTGATAACTCGTGGCATCACACAACTTACGCATGATGGAGGTAATTCTTTTGTTCTTATATCTCGCGCGATTGAGTTTGGCCCCTTCACAGCTTTACAACTGATCTCACCACGACCCAAGCAGTACGCATCACAACGCACATTGTGTCGAATAACAAGGTTGCGTTGATCTGGATGCAATCACATATCCCAATAAATGCTAATCTTTTTATTCTAATTTAACTAAAACGTGAGTTCGCCATAAGGTTAGTGGAAGTCCAACAGCGATATATCGACGCTGCTCCCAAAACATATTGTGATTGGATAGTTCCCATCCCGCACCCCAGAGTTAAAGAGTGCTATGTCTATAGCAAACCACTGCCCAGTGCTCGACAACACTCCAGAGGAGTGCTATGTGTGGCTGCCCCCACATACCAGACACCTACGGCGCGAGGAAACGTAGGTCGGATGGTGGCTATAGACATATCGAATTGCTCCTACGGCGCAAAGTTAATGTTTTGGGGATTATATCTCCGTTTCATATCAATCACCGCCCTATATGATGACGAATTCTTATACTCGCACCACCACGTGTATTCGATCAATATTGCGTAAGATCCTATACTGGCCTAGAAAGTGGCTTGTTTAACGACAGATTAACGAGAGTGTGCTATATGGTGAACAAGAATATTCTTAATTCCAGCAGCCCTTTTGAATCATGAACAGAATTTGTATTCACTTTATGCTTCGGTAGCGTGTATATCGCAGACACTATTTAGTGGCAGGGTGTACAGCCCCGGCGCATTTGAGGCATAGGTCACAGACTCACCTCTACACTCAGAACTAACCTCAGAGAACTCCACTCGCCAGATGAGAAATGCAAAGCAAACTCAGTAGAGTGGAGGCGCGATACACAGTCTCAAAGCTATTCAGAAATGGGATCACAACACCGAAGGAGTTACGATGATGGAACAGGTTGGCATATCTACATCGGCAAGTGCCCCGTGCAGATGTTCCTAATCCGTCCCCACAACAGCACAACCGAGGTATTTATCTCTCGCACGACACGCTGCACAATGCCTTAAACGGAGTGTGCAGACACATGTATGCTCAGCACAGATTACGCCTACGCAAACTGTATTTTATACACGTCCCGATGGATAAATTGACAAACGCTTACGCAAAAGAGGAGTCAAACTCATCCAGTACAAATCTAGTCAACTGAGGTAAGTGCACACCGATCCTCTGAAATGTTTCCGTTACGGACTTGGACTTCACAAATAAATGAA